CAGCTGGGGTTCCCTCTTGCTCAGCGCAAGACTGCCTTTTGTTCTTCTGAAGCAACATATGGAGGGGAATGCGTACACATTCTCTGCTGTAAGCTCTGTGAGTTGTCTCCATATCTTGAGCACTGTACTACATGAGAAACTCACAAGTTCACCATTTGCACATGACCCCCGAGGCTCAAAAGGAGGAAGTGTGAATCTCCAGCTTGCTTTGCCTTCACATGCAAAGCCACCCTGAGCTTATTTGTTTCATGACACCAGCAAGAGACTATTTTCATGAGGTGTTGAGTTGAGCTGTAGGACTTCAGACCGCGATCAAGGCAAGGATTGCCTCTTTGAAAGTCCCCCAGTATTTTAAAACAAAATGCAACTTCCCTGCACGTGGAAGGCTAGTGAGTTGGGTGAAAGGGTTTTAGCCTTGCTTGATGTATTAACTTTCCATGTGCAAGTAGTCGTTCTTTGATTTGTTGAAGTTTGCAGTTCAAGAAGGAATGTGCCTTTTTTCTGCACGTTTTGAGCAGGGTTGCAAAATGCCTCTCAGTAAGTGAAAGGCTAACTCTCAAACCTTCTGCTCTGTAGGTGTCTCCTACGTGAACATTCAGTCTTCAGTTTACAGTTTTAGTTTTGGCAAGATAATCCTTTTGAATCAGAACAGTGCACCCAAGCACGTAAATAAACACCATGCCTCTTTATGTTCTTTTTGTGAACTTTTACACCCACACAGTTGTTAATAGCACTGGATTTGGAACTGTTATCCAGCATCCAGTTGAGGCTAAGATCTGAGGGATTTTGGTATGTAAAATGTTGCTGAAACTACCCAAGACTGTTTTAAGTTCCGCCTTGTTTCCTTCATTGTACCAGCTGGTGCCATTCCTACAGTAGGACAAAAAGGTTCTCCACCACAAGCTCTAATTTTGTTTGGGCACCTGCAGTTTTCAGAGAAGATGCACTGGTACATGATTTAAGAGTCTTGCTATAAACAATTGTTCCTAAGAATATGACACTTAGGGAAATGTTCTGGGTTCCTTTGGTCAATTTTCTTCAAATAAAATCTCTTACTAGCCTTCTTACAAAAGAAAACATGCAGATATTCTACTGGGTTGCTTCATAAGAAATAAACATGCATTGTCTGCCTAATGAATGTAAATATATCAAGCTGCATATAAATATATGTGTGTGTGTGCGTGCGCGTGCTTGCTCTTTTACCGTGACTTATGCCCATTAGGTCCATCTACCACTGCAAAATGTATAGCTAGAGATGCTCATGGGTTTTAAGATTTGCAACAATTGGAGCTGGGGCAGCCAACATGGTTACTTCCAGATGTTGCTGGATCTCACCTCCCATCATCTCCAATCATTTACCATGATGAGTGGAGCTGGTGAGAGTTGGGTTCTTCCAGATGCCCTGTTTATTGCACATCCACCCTGGTGACTCTGCAGAAAGGTTTTACAGCATTGCTTATTTCATGAGCATTTATTCTGATTCGTTTGTCTGGAGGTTAGATGGTCTTGTGTCAAAACAAGTGCTACCAACACTGTTCAGTGTGTTTTCACATCATTTCCTTATCACGGAAAGCCTGATCTTAGGGGAAACATGTTGTTTGTGCAGGACCTCCAGTCAACCATAATAGCGCAGTGTGAATTTGCCAACATGTGACTGAATCTCAGTTGAAAATAGGAATAGGCTGGAAACACCCTTGGAGTCCAACAGTGTCTAGAGAGTGCCATGTTGGTCATCCCTGGTTTAAGCTATTGGTTGGAACACACCCAACATAGTCTGATACTATAAGCGGTATCGTTTTTCCAATGTGTAAAAAATAAAAGAGACTCAGGACAGCTACAGCTTCCTTACTCATTTGGTGTTATATCTACCCGGAAAGCTCTCTGTGGACAAATGCCGGCTCCCTCGGCCTGAAGCAAGATGAGTTCCGCACTTCATAGTTGCCTTTGACTGGACTTAACCTTCCAGGGGTCATTTAGCTTTACCTTTTACCATATCTATAAATTTATCTTTTCCTGATTTTAAAATGTGATGTCATTTACATTTAAATTTGCGGCATCAAAAGTGGATCATGCCTACAATCTAGGGGAAACCATAATATTTAACGCAGCATATATAATGTAATTTGAAGTCTCCATTCATATGTTTCTTCTTCTGTGGATGGAGGAGGTGCAAGGGAGATACAAAAGGCAGAGAACTTCTGAGAACTTGGGATCATCCTGATTAAAATGCGCACAGTAAATACAGCTTCAGGTCTAGAATCTGATTATAGGATTAAAACGGATGAAAAACTGCTGTGTATTTGAATTACAAAGTTCCAATCAATATCTTCCTTTGATATTTTTCAAAAGAGAAATGGAGTGAGTGAATAATGAGGGAAGGCAACCTTATATTGAGGCTGATACTGATATTTACATTTTCATTATTCTTTTATCATCTGATCATGATGTTAGCAGGAGTCTCTCGTTAGTTTTTTGTTTCCTGTTTTCTCATTATCTAGTGCTGTGTGACTCCTGTGGAAGCTCCCTTCCACCAAATGTGTCCAGGGTGGGTTTAGAGCTGCCTGTTGTCAGGTGGGCTTTGGTTTAGGGTTGGCATTGAGGGAAAGCAGGGTTCTTCTGCCTTTCACAACGGTGTGGCAGACAGAAATTCAACAGGCTGAGCTTGGAAAGTTTCATTAGTTCACATTCTGTCTGCCAGACATTTTATTATGTGTGAAACCACTTATTTTATTTTTGGGCCCTCAACACCACCCGCAAAAGAAAGGACACACATTTGCATATAACACAGAGCAAATGTGATTGTTATGCAAATCTGTGTCCTCTTTGGTGAGTGGGTTGGAGGGTCTAAGCTACATACAATGTACTGGACTCTTAAAATCTGTTGGCACCCCTGGACACATTCCAGAGTCTAAAATGACAGCATGCTGGGTGGTGGCCTTAGAGCTTTAGAATCCATCAGGGCTAGAATAAGGAATAGAGTTTCTGCAGTTCCTGGGAGCTCTCCATGGTCCTGCAGTGTCTTACGTCTGGATGGGTACCTGGGCCAAAGTAGACATTGCGTTCACATGGGGTGGGGTTGGTTATGAAGGAAAGGCAGCCTGGAGGAATAACTGGTTGTAAGAGGGACAAACTAGCCATTAGCCATATAGTTCACCCCACAGGTGTATGTCTCCCTATGGAAGGAAGTTTTCGTCAGAAGTCTGTAGACTAGACTGCTGCGGATGTGTGCGATCTACAAAGTTCTGCATCCGAGTGCAAGACTGACAACACTTATCTCCATTTGTTCAGTAAAATGGAATCGAAAATGGCATTTTTGCAGTTGGGTATCCTCCACCTTTGGTCCCTGGTCCCTCTGAACAAGTGCTGGTGCGAGCCAAAATTGACCACCACCACACTGATTGTCAGCAAGGGGATCAGGGCATGCATGAAATGTATTGAATGTTCATGCAGGGCTGCCACTTGGGTAGCAAAGGGGACAGTTGCCTCTCTCATATGCTTCTGTCTACTGCATCTGTGACCTGTCCTTTTTCTTCATATAGGGTGTGCATAACCTTATTTTGCTTGTGATCGTTGCGGCAAACAAGTTAATGAGGTTGAGTCACAGGGGCTTGCCCAAGGCCACCTGTTGAGCTTCATGGCCAAAGCAGGGATTTGAACCCAAGCCTTCCCAGCCCAAAGCCATCATGTTGTGCAACACATCACTCTGGCTCTCTGGAATGCTCTTTAGATACTTTCCCCAACCAAGTGAGAACTATTTATCCAAAAGAACTATGTGATCAGCCCTACTTGTGTGGCTGACTTATTTAAGAGTCTTCTCTGCCACACAGGATCTTGTCATGGAGAAGCAGCTTCCACATGGGCTGAGATAATGTCTTTAAAGTTCCATTATTCCTCTCCATCATGCTGATGATGCAATACACCAGTCATCTGGATGTTCTGCACACACATGTCCCTTCCCTACTGAAAGTTAAGATTGTCCTCCTGCACCAAAGCATTCAGATGGCATGTGTCCTGCCTCTCCCACCCCATAAGAGACCTGCTTGGCTTTTTTCCCACCTTTAGAAAGCAGGCTTCATACCTCTCCTCATGAAGTATTTGGGGAGTGAGGAATGCCAAGAACATATCCATGCATATAAAAGGCAGGCATAACACATCCCACCCACTGAAAGGGGCCACAAATATCTAAAATGCTTCAAATTAAGGGCCAGTTTCCTGGGTAGAGAAAAATGTGTTTGTCAAGCACCTGAAAGTAGATAGTGATGGCGCCAAGCATAGCTCCCTGGGGAGAGCACTCCATAAGTGGGGAGGCACCACTTAAAAGGCCTGTTCTCTGTTGCCATCATCTGCACCTCCTTCAGAAGGGGCACAAATAGGAGGGCCATAGGTGCCAAATGCAGGGCCTGGGTTGGTTCATGTGCAGAGAGGCAGTAATGATGATGATGATGATGATGATGATGATGATGATGCAGGACCTTGGTGAATTTAATGTGTTTGTGTGATGTTGTCTTGCTGTTTTCACCCATAATGTATTCTGGATTTTTGCTGTACTCTACTTCCTCATTCGGGACGCAGATAGCACTGTGGGTTAAACCACAGAGCCTAGGACTTGCCGATCAGAAGGTCAGCAATTCAAATCCCTGCGAATGGGGTGAGCTCCCGTTGCTCTGTCCCAGCTCCTGCCAACCTAGCAGTTCGAAAGCACGTCAAAGTGCAAGTAGATAAATAGGTACTGCTCCAGCGGGGAGGTAAACGACGTTTCCGTGTGCTGCTCTGGTTCGCCAGAAGCAGCTTAGTCATGCTGGCCACATGACCCAGAAGCTGTATGCTGGCTCTCTCGGCCAATAAAGCGAGATGAGCACCACAACCCCAGAGTCGGCCACGACTGGACATAATGGTCAGGGATCCCTTTATTTTTACCTTTACTTCCTTATTCTATCCAGCTAGCCAACTAGACTGTCTCTACTTTGGGTTTCTGTGATTTGTCTCCTCTTCTGTTTCAGAGAGCCGTATGATTCTGGATGCCTTTGCCCAGCAGTGCAGCCGGGTTCTTAGTCTTTTAAACTGTGGTGGGAAACTTCTGGACAACAGCCGCACTCAGTCTTTGGTTTCCTGTGTTAAGCAGGAGAGCCTGAGCTTTAGTGAAAGACCAGAGCAGTGCCAGATTGGGAAAATGGTCCATAGCCAAGCGTCAGACAACTTGGACCTAGAGCTGCAGTACATGCACAAGAAGCAGCAAACCTCTGCTTTTCTGAGAGTCTTTACCGATTCCCTTCAAAACTATTTGCTTTCTGGAAGCTTTCCATCTCAGAATGCTTCCTCCTTGAGTGATTTTGGCCATTTGGCCGACGTGGATCCACTTTCAACCTCTCCAGTGCACACGTTGGGTGGATGGACATCCCCAGCAACCTCCGAGTCCCATGGCCACCCGTCCTCTTCCACGCTTCCAGAGGAGGAGGAGGAGGAGGAGGAAGGCTACTGTCCTCGTTGCCAAGAGCTGGAGCAGGAGGTCATTTCATTGCAACAAGAAAACGAGGAACTCCGACGGAAACTGGAGAGCATTCCAGGTAAACCTAACCGAACCATTTGAGACATCTAGTGCTGTAGATATATAAGGTGCAAGGCCCAATGGCTAGCATCTATAAATCCTGTTAACATCAGTTTGTGCTGTTTGGTTTAAGGGTCAAGGCCACCATGGATGTTTGATGTACCAGAATGCAGAGGCATAGTTCCAAATAAACACGTTTCGTGTCAGGATATTGTTACTTGTCACTTTTCAGTAGCGTAACCAACACAAAGTGTTTCGTCCTTAAAACATAGAATCATAGAATCATAGAGTTGGAATAGACCAGAAGGGCCATCGAGTCCAACCCGCTGCCAAGCAGGAAACACCATCAGAGCACTCCTGACATATGGTTGTCAAGCCTCTGCTTAAAGACCTCCAAAGAAGGAGACTCCACCACACTCCTTGGCAGCAAATTCCACTGTCGAACAGCTCTTACTGTCAGGAAGTTCTTCCTAATGTTTAGGTGGAATCTTCTTTCTTGTAGTTTGGATCCATTGCTCTGTGTCCGCTTCTCTGGAGCAGCAGAAAACAACCTTTCTCCCTCCTCTATATGACATCCTTTTATATATTTGAACATGGCTATCATATCACCCCTTAGCCTCCTCTTCTCCAGGCTAAACATGCCCAGCTCCCTTAGCCGTTCCTCATAAGGCATCGTTTCCAGGCCTTTGACCATTTTGGTTGCCCTCCTCTGGACACGTTCCAGTTTGTCAGTGTCCTTCTTGAACTGTGGTGCCCAGAACTGGACACAGTACTCCAGGTGAGGTCTGACCAGAGCAGAATACAGTGGCACTATTACTTCCCTTGATCTAGATGCTATACTCCTATTGATGCAGCCCAGAATTGCATTGGCTTTTTTAGCTGCCGCGTCACACTGTTGGCTCATGTCAAGTTTGTGGTCAACCAAGACTCCTAGATCCTTTTCACATGTACATCCTTCATGATTAAATAAATGGGTTAGCATACTATCAGTACTATTGTTCAACAGAAAGGTTGGCTAGGAACATCTCTTTTTTCCAAGTCCAGAGGGCTGTTCCCTCCTTCTCAAATTGGATGGCAAGGCCTCTTTGAGCGTAGCACCCACCCTTTGGAAACCTCTACTTAGCTAGTTTCCTTTAGCCTCCTACAAATTCCAGTGAGACAGGCGTAAGCATACTCCAGCACATTTCTTTGGTGTAACCTGTGTCCTCAGATGACTTAACATAGACCAAGGGTGGTGGTGTCAGACTCCCAACTCCCATCATCCCTGGTTGCATCAGCCATCCCAATATAGACGATGCTCTGATAACTCTCATCCTTTAGAATCAGCATCTCAAGGCCCCTATTTAATGAGAAAAGGTGTCAGTGGCCAGGTAGCATTTTGTAGCCTGCTGCCCTCTCTCACTCTCCCACCGTTGTTCTAGAAGACCCTTGCCTGAAGCCCTGGAGAGCCACTGCCAACCAGTCTATTGAGCTAGACTGAGCAATGGACTGACCCTGCTAAATTTGACGTGCAGTGATGTAACTCTATCCACCCGCTTGCCATTCACATTTCCCCCCTGCTTCTCCCTACTCCTGCCTCAAACTTCGTCTTACACGTTAGAGTTCCTACTGGTTTATTCATTGTCCGTTCCCTTTCTTGCTCGCAGTGTTTGGGTACTCCTGCTGGCAGCTGGCATGAATAGCCTGCCCTGAACTGCTCACTCAGTGCTTTCCTCACCCACCTGTACTTAGTGACTTGCCCATCTACTAAATTGCACGTAGCTTGAAGGGTCTTGCTAGGTGTGACTGCTCTGCCCACATTCACCCCAAATGATGGAAATTAAGAGGCATGCTTCATGCTGGAGATCGAGGGGCTGCTGTGAGAAGTGTGGGAGGTGGCCTTGTGATTGACACATGGGTGAGCCCATCAAAATCATGCACAGTATGGCTGGCTGCAAGCCAACTTCCCCATGCTTGATCCACATTTCCTGCCACCACATCTCTGACCCTCTCTTTTTAAGGATCTCTGTATTCTCTTCTCCCTTCTCGCCCTTCCTGTATTTCACATTTCTGTCCAATATTTACCCCACCTTTCTTCCAAGGGAGGCATTTCTTTAGTCTTGCAACAATCCCGGGAGGGGTTGGCGAGGGCTGTCCTGCTGAGGGTTTCTTCGCACATCACAAAGGAGCAAACCTCAGGAAGGAAGAGTAAACAAAACTGTTCTGGGGATTTTCTGAAATGGTGTTTGACTCGCTGATATGTTTGCCTTTTTAATAGTAAGCAGCAGATGTACACTCACTTCCCCTCTTTTTCCTACAGTGCCCTGCCAGACTGTTTTAGATTACTTGAAGGCTGTTCTTCAGCATCACAATCAGCTTATGATTCCTCAGCCCGCAGAGCAGCCAGCAGAGGTACTGTACAGGGGTGATAAGAAGTGCCTGGAGCCTGGCTACTTCAGTGGGCAAGTGGGCACAGGGAAATAATGCAATGCTGGATGAATATGCCTTTTACTTTTTTTAAAAAAAAAAGTGTAACAGCAAAACTCTTCGTTTATCTTCTGCAGTGCATTACTACATTTACAAGAGACTGAGAACCATTCACTCTCAGTCTAGGTACATTGATAATACCACCCTGGTGCAAGATTTGCCGTTTACATGTCCTTCCCCCACCAGGCTAATAATAATAATAATAATAATAATAATAATAATAATAATAATAAATTTATTTATTTATTTATACCCCGCCCATCTGGCTGGGTTTCCCAACAGAATTAAAAGCATAATAAAATATCAAACATTATAAACTTTAACACGAATGATGACATCTCATTGTGGACATTATTGTGTAATAGGCCCCAGCTGATGTTAAAAGTTATACATACAGTGGGCAAGCATTAGAAACTTGAGACTTACTCCCTGTTACTGTGGAACCTCGGTTTTCGAACGCAGTCCGTTCCGGAAGACCGTTCAACTTCCGAAACGTTCGAAAACCGGGAATCCAAGGGCTGGCTGCAAAGTCACTGGGGGGGGGGGGAATGAAAAACGCGCCTTGGAAGCCGTTCACTCCCAGGTTTTCGACATTCGACTTCCAAACCATTTGGCAGCTGAGATGTTTGGAAACTGAAGTTGGACTGTAACTGTAAAACTTACATGCCCAGTCCATGTGTGAACTACAAGTTTGATGTGACCATTTCAGCTGTCATCCGGACTTCTCTCCACATAGGATTAGCTGATGATGTGCTTCTGCCATTGGCTGAATTCATCATTTGAGATGGTCCTACAGAAATGAGCCCTTTTCACTGCAGCTATGGGAGACATCTAGCATGTTAGCACTAGCTAAACATCTTCCATTGCTGTGTTGTGGTGAACAATTGCAGCCTTTGGTCCATGCCCTCTCTACAGGCTAATTTAACAGTGATTCCCTCTTTGTAGGGAATTGTAATTAGGTGAGGGATCTGCAACAGCAAACACTCGGCATCTAACTGAACTTCAGTTCACATTATTTTTTAGAGGAAGCTGTGACAGTTGCTAAAATATATAAGCACTGTAAATTGACAGTGTAGGTGAGGCCTCTCTGAAGCGGAACACAAGGCACATAACTGAACATTGCCTTTTTTTACATATTTCCACATAACGTTGTGTTAGAAGGTTTTTCATTCTGTTTTGTAAGTCTCTGTCTGGCTCTATGGATAGATAGCATCATATGCTGGTACAGAGGTTAAAACGTGCTTTGTTCAGTTGGTTAACTACATCACATGAATTTCTGCCAAAACACAGCATACTTTTCACAAAGGGTTATTGTGTCCAGAAACACACCATTTACAGAAATCAGTGCCATTAAGTCTAGAGTGCTGTGCAGCAAGTTGTAATTAGATCACTGTGCACACACTCAACAATAATTGAGGGGTGGGAATGTTAAAAGAGGGAGATATTTGAGTAGCGCCATTTGTAATTAGGTCAACTTTAATATCCTCTCCGAGGAAAAAAATGCGGTGAGATCTGAACACCCCTCCCCCAAAAGCCATATGGACATAGGGTTTTACATTACACGTTGAGGCTTAAATGTCCACAGGCGAAGTGACCTAAATCTTGTGCTGACCACGAGGGCAATTTGCTGCATGCTCTTTACATGAAAAAGTTAAGCAAACATCAATGTTTCACACACTTTCCCCTTCCCAAATCGTGAAATATAAAGCTGCAATCCTAGACATCTTCCTTACCTGGGAGCAAGTCCCATTCAACTCTGTGGGTCTTGCTACCAATCAAGCATCCTTAGGATCAGACTACATGTTTGCCACAGGAGATGGTATTGGTTTACTTTTCACAAATATATAGGTTGAACAGCTTTGTATGGGAGTGTAGGAAGAAATGTGCAGGTTATACGAGATCCACAGTAACATAATCTTAGTGCCTCCAACTCCAATGCCCAAAGCCCACCTATTCATCACTTGCTTTGTACAGGAAGCAAAACTCCCGATAAGACTCGAAATTCCACCCAATTCAGCTCCTTTGAGATGAGTGAAACTTTGTTCCAGGTGCTTGGAATATCCTGTTCCCCCTTCAGTGTCCCTCACCTACAGTTAGACCCACACCAGAGCTTCAGGAGATAACTATTTCTCCACAGCCGCATGGCCCACTTGCAGTTAAGCGTTACCCTGAATCATTAGTGTGTGTCAAGATTTACCTTGTTGTGTTTAAGAAAGGGAGGCCAAGGTCCAGGGTAGTTCATGGGGGCCCAGCACCCCCTGGTTTTATATATTCGCTTCCTACATGGAACCTTCTCTGCTTTGACTTGTCTGCTGAGGAACCAGTTAGTGTCCAGCATGGAACCTTAACCTGCTGCTGCGGATGCTGGGCTGCGTTCCGAGTCACACAGGCTGTTTGAGCCAGGCCTGGTGGACCTCACTGCTGCTTCTCTTCAACTGTTCCCTAAGAGTGTGTCCAATAACATAGTCATAGCACATCCTTGTAACTGTGGGTTGCAGGAAAAGATTAGGCGGTTGAGTGCAAGCCATTGTCCTGATCGTCTCATGGAGGAACCCCACCTGAAGCTTCCACAGAAAGCCAGATGTTTCTATCAGGGCGAATGCCTGCTCATGGGCTTCCTTAGCTGGGCATTCTAAGCAAACAGCAACCAAGAGATTTTGTGGGGCGAATTGTCCACCCCACAGAGCTGTCATCTGCCTTTACGTAGAATTCATTAATAGTCATGCTGCTCTGGGAACTGGGGGTTTGTAACTTTTGTTTATTTGCTTTAGAGTTTCCCCTGCAACTTAACTGCTGTCAGGTTCTAAGGGTGTTAAACAAAAGGTAATACGTTAATTATGTAAATAGAATTATTATAAAAAGTAGCGTCTGAAGTAGCTATCCATCAGCTGCCATTGAAAGGCTTGTTTGATCACACTCTTCAAAAGACATTTTTGCACATTCTAATAGATGAAGAAAGAAAATTATATTTAAATAGCTTTCCCAATCACTGGATCTTGACACTTTTTAACCTACCTGCGAAAGTACATTATAAATAGCTTCTTTCCTCTCAAGGTGTTCATTATACCTCACTGGTTCTTGTTATAGAAAATGCAAATGATTTCTTATTTTTTTTAATGCTCATTCTCAGTATGAGCAAGTCCTTGTTCCCGTCAGCCTATGTTTTCACTGTCAGCATTTTACAGCTGCCTAATTTCTGTTTTATTTTATTTGGCAACTGACTTCATCTTCTCCGCCTGTTAGCCTGCTGAAAAACCAGGAAACTGTTCTGCTCTCTCTCTCTTTTATTTTTTTAGGGGAGCAAACAGTTGCTTAACAACTATCCCGTCTACATCACTAGCAAACAGTGGGACGAGGCAGTGAACTCCTCAAAGAAAGATGGGCGGAGGCTCCTTCGATACCTCATCCGATTTGTCTTCACCACCGATGAGCTTAAGTACTCGTGCGGCCTTGGGAAAAGGAAAAGGTCAGTGCAGTCAGGAGACACTGGTCCTGAAAGACGCCCTCTGGATCCAGTAAAAGTAACATGTCTCAGAGGTACTACATCTTCTCACTCGGTGTCCACCATACGCAATCTCCATTTCACCGCATTGGCTTTGGGCTTTTAGGCAAGAAGGCTTAGCTTCCTGTTCTCATGTGGCCCGGTGCCTTCCAAGTGCTTTGGACAACAACTGCATCAGCCCCAGCCAGCATACCTGTTTTGGTTGGAATGATTGGAGTTGTAGTCCAAAACCCCTGGGGAGCACCAGGTTGGAGATGTCTGGTCTAGAAGGAACAGGGAGCTTCCTGTAAACATGGGGTTCATGGGGCTTAGGTTCCGCCATCAATCGATGGGAGATGGGTTGACTGATCACTTACCTGTCTAATCAGTTTATCCAGCAGCTTTCAGACTGTGCTCTGGAGAACTCAAGGGTTCTTCACTAAGACAATTAGCACAGGTTGGAAAGTGTCTCTGGAAGACTGCCTCCTCGTGCTCCTGCTCCTCCTCCTCCTCACCACCCGTTTTCCCCTGCAGTGCACAGATGTGAGGATGTTTTCAAGGATGCGTTCTCAGTTGTTGCTAGGTGACAATGAGGTCCCAACTGGCCTCATGTGAACAGAGCATGTGCCCTAGACAAGAATATGCCCCAGAATTTACTGTAGGCTGCTAAAGGGTTCCTCAGTAGACAATGCAAAGTGTTCATAAATATAGAAAGTTTGAGCAGCATTGAGAAGCATTCTTCCCCCTCCCCCGCCGCCAAAACCTCAAAAGAGGTCCTCTTTTGGAGATAATTAGCATTTCCTGCACTAATTTACTATGTAATAAGCCCAAGCAGCTGCTCATTAGATGACAAGGCCATCTTTAATATTTTCTTTTTCTTTCTCCAACATCGTAGGAAGCCAAAATTAAAACAGCCTCCATAGCAAAAAGGGTGTTCTTACCCAAGCCCCTCTCATCAAAACGCAGTCCAGTTGCTTATAATTGACCCTGCCTAGTCAAATCAACTAAAACTTCAATCAGACTTTAAATTAAACTTGATTATAAAATAGATTCAGGTTGATTAATCTACACATTTAAATCTAATTACTTGGATTCACTGTTTGAAAAAAATTCAGGAGGCTTTTCTTGTCCCGATTAATCCTTGATTGAATGAAATGTGGTTCTTCGTTGAAATCAATACACTGTCTTCAGAATAAGAGATAGAATTGTTTCCGAAGTCCATTTTTAATGAGATATGGAAACCATCTGTAATGGAATGGAACAGACGATATCCTGGTCTTATGGCCACAGTCTAGCCGTGGCTGCATACAACTCACTGTACACAACAACTAGCACGGTCCAGTTGCAAAAGATGCAACCAGCAAAACCAGAGATGGATGACGCCCTTGCAGAGGTTTCTCTGCAGCAACTGCTCATGTGTCAATGTGCTTCCACCCATAGATCTCTCTTAACAGGTCAGGACATACTGTATTTACTCGAGTAAATGCACCATCAAATCTAATGCGCACCTCAATATTCAGAACCTTGAAACAACAACAAAAAGTATTTGCTGGCGGATGTAACGCACGTCCTCTGGAAGGATCTTGCACGTCTTCTCGCTAGCTTTTAAACTGCTCCATTGAGGCCTGCAGCTGCTCACTCCTCAATGGAGAGGTGGGACAGAGCTTGCACCTCACTGCCAGCTAGCATGAGCTCGCAGTGAGGTACGTATTTACCTGAGTCTAATTCTGCCACTGAATCTAATGCACACCCAATTTTTCGCAGCTTATTTGACAAAAAAAGAGATGCACATTAGACTCGAGTCAATACGGTAATGGGTTTTATTACCTTCAAAGAGCAACGGCGAGATTATTTCAGTGTTGTTTTTGTGTCACGCTATAGCCATGTGAAGCAGCAGATCGTTTCAGAAGAGAGAAAATTCTTTCTCTTCCACCTCCCCTTTATGACATCTAAATGTAGAGGCACCAGAATGGAACTTTTCAAATGCCAAACACACTGGCTCCAGTCGAGCGCTAAGGACTAGTGGCTTTGGCAGGCCACTAGGCATTTGACTGGCATTTGCAGGACCCAGGTATCCCTTGCAGGGCTGACACCTTGTGTGCCCTCCCTCAGGTGACTGCTGTCACCTCGGTTGCCTGACAGACACACTTGCTGCAGCTGTCAAGCTCCTGCTTGCTTGAGAGCTGGCTTGCCCTGAAGCAGCACTGTTAACAGCTCAGGAAGATTAGCACCTGCTGAGCTAGCTGCATGGGTTATTGCAGCAGAATCTCCCCTCAGAGGCTTGAGGAGCAGCAGGTGTGAGTGCAGTGGCAGCTTGGGCTCCGAATGGGATGCGCTTTGAAAGATGCATCCATCTGCTTCAGTGGGGCCCAGTTTGTGATGCAGATGTGGATCTGCATCTAGGTGCACAACTGGCTGCAGACAGGCACGGGAGTGTGCTTCTGCATGCTGGTAACCATCCCTTGCTGGATCGAGACCGTCCTTAAATGTCAGCACTGGGGTGCTCAATTGCACACTAAATAAAAATAAAAAATGCAGGTGGCAAGCCTTTTTGCACGTAAATTGCATATATACCTCACCAGTCAAAGCATGCAAGCATTAAGTGGGAGAATTAGGCAAAACATAACTTAGAGTTTCAAACACATCTCTGTTGGTTTGGTGGCTACCCAGCATTTGACACTGTTGAAAGGAGCTTCCACACAGTCCCTGATAGTAGACTTGGTAGGGTTTCTGCATGCAATTTCCCCCTTTTTTGCAGTGTCTGTACAACACCGTCTTCATCAAAATGCCACCCCATATTCCCCACCCCACCCTCTGTCCCATTTAATCTGGATTTACTCTTTCTGCGAGTTTTATTTTTACTTCTCAGATTTTCCCAGGAAACAATAATCCACGTTAAATGGGGAGGTGATGTGGGACGGCATTTTGCTGAGGGCATTGCATGGACACTCAGCAAATCTTTCTCGGCACAAACCCCATAGTAGGGTGCTGTGTGGAAGCACCCAACATTTGAAATGGATTATACCTATTGCTCCGAATGGCTCGCTGAGGCTTTTTGTTATTTTGGAGGAGTTTTAATTTTAATGGGGCCCAAGCTGTTAGCCATAGATTATATTTCTAGAACACAAAGTAATCCTACAAGTGGGAGGGAGAAAGCCACCTTTTCCTAAGCCCTGCCAGTTTGTGCAGGCAGAGTAGAAGGCTGCGTCTCTGTGTGGCTTCCCCCCTTTTTACAGCTCTTGCTAATTTCATTCATTATAACTCAATTTCTGGACAACATATTATTTAAAAAAACATCTTGAAGCATTTCACAGTAAGAGTCGCTCAAAATTCTGAAAACTTCATTAAACTGCAGTTGCATATGTACAATGGCTATGAGTAACAGCTGGAAAAAATATATCCAAAGGAGCATAAAATTAAAATGGCAAAGAAAGCTCTCTGTCTTGGGAGTCCTGCATAGCTCCATCCCACATGCCCTATCAGCAGCAAAACAAGGATCGCAGAATTGTGGACCTGGAAAAGCACCACAAGGGCCCAACCCTCTGCAGTGCAGGAATCTTCTGCCCAACATTGTTCAGAATAGCTTGACTTGGTGAATAAGTTGTGCAAAATAAGAAAAGTCGTGCCAGTGTGTTCTCCCTGTGTTAATTTTACAGAATCGAAATGTCCACTTTTCCGTGCAGTATTTTAATTCATTTAGTATGAAATCGGCACTGTCCTGGTCAGTAGACGGTTTGTTTCCAATGCAGACGTTTTCTACCCCTTTTTCCTGTGTTCCTGCTGCTGTTCCTTAACATCCCACGCATCCCATCACTCCTTTCCCTCCCAAACACAGCAATTGCTAACCCTGAAATGCTTTTGGAAACCCACACTGTGCAGCCATCCAGTACAAACTGTGTTAATTCTGACGGTGTGTTGAAGCCCCTGATGGGAGCTGGAGAAAGGACTACATGTTGCAGGAGTTAGAGCTATAGGGTTGGCTCTCTTAGCATTGCCTCCAAGAATATATACCCGGCGTATGAATGCGATGCATCCGCATGCCACTGCCCAGCTTGCGAGAGAGCTAATGGTGCCAATGGGCCGCTGTTGCTAACTCCACATTTTCCTGCAGAATTCATTAGGATGCACTGCACGTCCAACCCAGATTGGTGGATGCCTTCTGAGGAACAGATAAACAAGGTGTTCAGTGATGCCGTGGGACATGCACGGCAAGGTCGTGCGGTGGGGACGTTCCTCCATAACGGCAACTCGTATTACGAAGGGATTGAGCAACATATTTCGCAAGACGACCTCTTCAACAGGGGCATCCACGATGGATCTGGAGACTGATGGCAAAGGGGCAAACTGTATTGGGGCAGTGAAAGAGACTGTGTGTTTGATGTGCTGTTTGACGTGACTTAAGAACCCAAAGCATGTTCAGAGTCTTGTTTCATCCAAGGCCTTCCTGTGAAAGCCCATAGTGTCTAAGCCCAGACTTCTCAAACACAATTTAAGGACGCAAACCTATTTCTGAGTGGGTGGGGAGCAGAATTCTCCTCCACGCAAAATAATAATAACCCCGCCACACACACCTTGAAAGTTGGCACGTCAGGAAACAGGCCAGGCTAGGAAGAGTCTGCCTTACGTTTGCTTTTTTATGTGAAGGATTTCATCTCCTGTATTTTCCGTATTCGAGTCTCCACCTGCCATCTTAACGCACAAAACTCAGATGCGGTTTTATATTCCCACCTCACGTGTGGCAATGAAAACCAGTCTCACAGCGCTATATATCTTCACAGTGGTCAAATGCAGTCGCACCCCCCACTGACACACAACTTTACACTTCTGAGTTCATGTGCAATTTTAGGGATTAGGAACAGGTAGTGACATTTCATTAAATCTGGAAGGCATCTAAATCAGGGCGAGTTTTGACAGGTTGCATTTTATTTTGAAAGTTTTCCTACCTTTTCTGGGGGGGGGGCAGGGGCAGGAATGTCACCTAAAGATGCTGGAACTAGTCTATACTGCTAATAGATTAATAAATGTTCCAAGAGATAACTTGTTACTTTTCAGGCTTTCTCTGTCGCTTTAAATGTTTTCTGTATAGCCTTGCTTTTGCTTGTGCCACGCAGTTTTGTGTACAATCACTAATTCAGGAACACACTCCTGCTCTCTGTCAGGTGTGCAGTGGCCCTAGGTGGCATAATGTTAACATTTCATATTTTAAGCTGAAGAAGTGTCACAGACTCAGTCCCACAGGCCAAGACCAAACAAAAGTCTCTCTATGAGTGTCCTTCACTCTGGGAGTCCCCTGCTTATTCACCTCAGCCATTTGCTTGTCAGTGGAAGGGCCTGAGGTACGAAAGAGCAGCTGTCCCCCCCCAAAAAAAACCCCAAAGAGCTAAGACCCTCATGGTGGTGACTTGAAACAGTTCAGAGCTGCTCTGTGTGAAATAAAAGAGCATAGTCTAAAAATACGTCAGATCTTGCAATATCAAGTTTGGGAGCTGCTGCTTGGGCGTCTTAAAAGAATAATCTGTAAATGTATAACACTTCTAGAAATAGCTTATTTTCGTTATTATTTTGGGGTTTTGTTGTTTCAAGTTCTTCCTCGGAAGTGTATTTGCCTCACAATGTGCTCAGCAGGAGAAGAAACAGGTTCTTTCGTAAGTAAGGTTGACACCACCACCTTCGATTTGTGTCAAATATCTCTCCCTCATTTTGCAGCCCCCTTTGCCACGACAACCAACACCATCCGAACCCTCATAGCATCATAGTGTTGGAAGGGACCCTGAGAATTTTCTAGTCCAATCTCCTGCAATGCAGGAATCTCGACTAAAGCATCCATAGCTGATGGCCACCCAACCTCTGCTTTAAAACCTTCAAGGAAGAAGAGTCCAGAACCTCCTGAGGGAGTCTGTTCCACTGTCAGAAAGTTGTTCTTGGTGTCGAATCAGAATCTTCTTCCTTGTAAATCGAAGCCATTGGTTTGGGTCCTGGTAGGCTTGGGCAGGCTTCCTCCTGGCAGGTTTGGTTGGCCAATCAGCACCAGCCGGGCCTGTTCCCAATGGCAGGGAATAAATTGAGGCCTGACTTGGAGGTCATTCCTTCTGCCTGCCTTTGCTGGATTGCTGCAGGGTTACGGGGTCTTGGCATGAGAAAGCTAAGCGCTTTTAAACCTCATGGGTGTCAAGTACACACTCGGCTCTCTTCCACTGGAACCTGTAGGACTTTAAAAACTGAGCGTAGCTCACATCCTTCGTTTATATATTTTATTTGGCTACGATGCCATCTCTGCCTATTAACATACAATCAACATTTCAGTGCCGTCCGTTTCTGAGACAAATTTGTTGTAAATCAGCAGGACACCCGGTGGCCTGATGAGAAGACAAACACTCCCATCCTTCAAAAATCACGGCATTTCTGTCCTATTTGTATAGTGTTGTACGTGACACATCCGCTGCCACAATGCTAACATAGTGCAGGCCTTGGTGTATGTTTCCTGTGGTGACACTTGATCTTTTTGGTGGAAAAAAAGAAGTCAGATGGAATGCATGAGTCCACGTTTGTCTACAGTATAATCTCATGATAGTGTATTTTTGTAATAAGCAGTGTGAAATCCAATATTTGTGTATGAATCCAAGTAAAAGTGTTTTGTTCGAATTATGCACACCAGAGTCACATAACAGACCTCACTGAAGCAATGCCATTTGGGGTTTGCTAAGGCAACGGGTAAGCCTGGCTATTTTAATGGGATGGGTAATCTACTGATTTCTACTTGGGCCCCACTCATGCATTGTGAAGTGCCACACAGAAGTTGCTTCCCTGCAGCCTAGCTGGGGGTGGGCGAGGAATTGGTTTGAGCTGCTTTTTGCTGCCAGATTTGAGATCCCCAAACTTCCTGACAGCTGGGAATGCAACCTGTCCGTTAGATTATGCACTTCTCTGAATTTTGTGTTGCAGCTTTGGTCCCAAAAGTACAAAAATATGCATCTTCAACAACGACCAAAAGAGAGGATACATATTTTAGGAGGAAATACATTTAAAGGGTTGTGGTGCAATGGGGGGGGGGAATGCACATTTGATGGAAGGAGTGCATGCGATTTACATGCAGGTATTTTTGTGTGTGCAGTCTTTGCAATATCCATAAAAATGGAAGGGAGCAGACCTTGGCCTAGTGTTAGTGTAACTGGCACAAAACTGACATAGGTTGATCATCCATATCCATCCATCCCTAGCCTCATAGTAACATCTATAAAGAGGAACCATTTGGGCCAAGTCAGAGAGATGGTTGCGTCTCACCACAGGGTTTTCACTCCATGAGGGCAAGTGATCTATATGATCCATGTGAATACTCTCAACAGACATTACTTTTGTGGGCAAGGCTAGAGCAGCTGCTACATCATGCTGGCAACACAGTAAGATCTAAAGGATCCTTTAAGTGTTAAAGGATCCTTTAACTTTAGCAGTGTGTGCTCCTCCCACAAGGCTCCAGTGATGTCAGCAGAACTAGGCCACATAAATAGAGCCAAAGTTGCAGCTCCTTTCCATCCCTTCTTGGGAACTGGGGCCATGGCGTGGTGTTGGCAGGTTGTCAACCGAATAAGCCAATGCTATTCCAGCCTCCACACCATTGAGGCAGCGCAGGAAGGCACCCTTCGTTTGGACAGTAACCATGCACTGCCGCTTCCAGCATTGCAGAAAATTGTAGCGATAAAACCTATTGCTTGCTTCCCAAAGCCTCATTGCAGCAATGCTAGCCACTCCGTTCAAAATCTTTTGAAGGTAGAATGCCTACGATATTTAAATTGGCAGCATAAGCAGTGTTTAATCCAGCTGAAGGAGTCACTGTTGTGAAAGTTTGAAAATTCAGCGCAAGTGACAGACCTCAATAGGAGAGCAGTTTCAAAAGCTTTACTGTCAAAATTGGCCATGAAATCTCATTTAAGGTTCTCCACCCCTTAAACAGTTTGCCTGAACATTGACACTTCTTTAGCTGTCTTAGCTGTGCTCTTTTAACATTAGTGTAAACATGCACACACTCAGACACGGGGAAATGCTCTTTTGGAGCTCATCTTGTACAAAACCACTCTTGCCTCCTTATCCTAACCACAGAATATATTCTCATTCACTGTTAAGACCTTGCACTGAGAACGCAATCCCGATGCCTCAGAGCCCGGAAATAGTAATAGGATAAATATGGAGCCGATCATTTGCTGTCACCGGTGATGTAGCATGAGTTGCCAGTGCCCAGGGCACCACCTGCCAATAGGCTGGAAAGAAGGGCAAAAGCTTGGCGACCTACCCTAGTGGCAGCCCCGTGAGCATTAAGCACGGCGGGACGGGGGATTGGTTGGGAGCAGGTATCTTTCTAAAGCCTTTGCAGAGGATGCCCCAGCAACTGGCCCTTGCCCAAATCCTCTCCTCAGTCATATGTGCATTTGCAATATGGAGGAAACCATGAAAGTTCCCCACCTACAACCTGAAATGATACCATCCAAGATCAGTTTTACCACTTACATAATACTTGGCAGTCAGAACAGCTTACGGTGTTGAGCTGCTGTTTTCCTCGTTCTGCAGCAATATTACCTCAGTTAAACCACATTTAGCCTTCTGTTTTACGGCACCGCATCTGGTTTGGGCTTGCTCAATAGAATAGGGATAGCCAGCATATCATAGAATACAACTCCCATCAGCCTCAGGCAGCAGCTAGGGATGAGGTGAGTTGTAGTCCTCAACGGAGCAAGATGGCTCCCTCTGCTCTAGGACCTCTTCGATTATCAACAGACATATATATATATATATATATATATATATATATATATATATACACACACACACACACACACACACACACACAAACCTCAAATTACTTTCACCCACAACTACCACCTTTCTTCCCAGTACATCTGACTGATTTCCTAACCCTTTCATGGCAGCCTCTACTGTACATACAAGTGACAGCAATTCCTGAGTTCGAATGCCATAGCAATTCCAATGGCCTCTGGGGAAATATGTCATTTGCCTTATTCTTTCTGAATCTTCCTCCCATTTCTGTAGCAGCTTTTGAAGCTTGTGTATCACTTCTGCACGGACCCCAGTGCCGACATGCCTTTGCTCTGTTTTCTATGACAAAATAGTTATGGCCATACTGTGACCAAGAACTCATTACTCCTAATATTCCTCTCGTTCTCGTGTCGTTGATTCTATTAACAATTTGTCCTGTGTCAAGTAAATGAGACCTAGGGATAGACAAATTCCTGATGCTGTACAAAGTGAATAGTGTAATATAGGCTAGTATGTTTTGGTGAGGATTTCTATAGGACGTGTGAATTGTTTTCTATGTGACATCAGGCTACACCTTTCTTTTAAGGAAGTAAGTGCATAAAAGTTTAGACAACTTTTTAAAAACAGTGAATATTTTTTGATTATAAAGAGACATTTGTTACTAGAGTTTACTATTTCAAGTGTTAACTCTTATTTAAATATTGGGTTTTTATTACTACATGCCTCCATTTGTTCTGTTGCATAAGAGTGCACAATAATAATAATAATAAAAATTAAAACAGCCTCTGCCTTGTGTTTGGTGTGCAGAATGTTTATCAAGCATTCCACAAATGGGGAGACACCGTGGAAATGGCCCATTCTAGTGCTGCCACCTTCCGGACCTCACTTGGAGGAGCCACACGAAGGAAAGCCTCAGATGATGATCACAGGATTTGGGTCGGTTCACATGGGCAGAGGCAGTCCTTGAGGTATTGCAGTCCTGAACCGGCTTTATAGGCCAAAAGCAGCACTCTGAATTGGGCCCGGAAACTAATTCGCAGCCAGTGAATTTGGGGCAGGATTGGTGCAATATGCTCAAACCATCTTGCCCCAACCTGGTCTTCGAATTGAGGTTTTTGAACCGTCTTCATCAGAGGCAGCCCAACGTTGTCCAATTCACTCAAAAGTGGTGCCAAACACCTGCAAGGTTTGGCGGTGCAAAAATCTAATCTAAAAGTTACCAGAACATAGACAACAGAAGTTAGGCTATCCCTGTCCAGATAGGGGTGTAACTGGGCCACCAGCCGAAACTGATGGAAGGCACTCCAGGCCACTGAGGCCAACTGAGCCTCGAGCGACAGCAAAGGATCCAGGAGGACCCCCAAGCTATGGACCTGCTTTTTCAGAGGAAGTGTAACCCCATCAAGAGCAGGCGACATCCCACCCATCTGGTCTAGGGAACCACCCACTAACAGTGCCTCAGTCTGATCTGGACTGAGCTTCAGTTTGTTGATTCTCATCCTATCAATTGCCAAGGCAAGACTACTGGGAGTAAACACAACAACACAGTCTAAAAGTGTTTTTTTAAGGTACAGACCCCACCATCTCCTTCTGGGGGTGTCTGCATATGGCCTAATACTAATTTTGCTATTCTGTTCAATATATAATTTAAGGGGATTCCCTCAGTAAGCAAGTTTTTGCAGAAAGAGGGAGGTATCTGAGCTCAGGTGGGCTCAGGCTATTCACTGAAGCCCAAACAGAGGCTGCCACAACATGAGCAAATCAGTTGTCAGAAATGCTATTTCATTACTCAAGCATGAGTTACGCATGTGCATTGGACTCTGACTAAACCCATGGTGAAGTGGGGTGCTTCCGAGATATCTAGGACTTGGCAAAGGTCAAGTGGGATCCCTCCAAGGTGACACAAGTCAAAATGGGGAACCCTGAGTTGTTCATAGCACAGTGGCAATCCAGACATAGGAAGAAAATGGTGCAGAAAAGGATCTGCTGGAAGCAAAAGCAAGCTTAATATAATGCCATTTGAAAGATACCAGGGAGGGACAGGTCAAGAGAGTGATCCAAGGGGAGTTATTTGATTTAGAAAGTTAATCCCTTAGTTGTTCCCAGGTCTGCATAAAGTGTGTACATGCTAATTTTTATCTGTATAGGTGCAAATCTAGGTTTCCCTCAAATTCAGCTCAGAAAGACTGTGCAATGCTGTCCAAACTCACTGTCACAAGTACGGCACAATTACATTCAATGCAACCCCTTGGAAAATGAACGGGACTTCTGTAAACGCAGGTGTCAAGCACATCAGACTTGCGGTGGATTTTACAACATAAAAATATATCTGCAGATTCACCATTTTATTCCATGTCTTCAGTACACCAGATGAAGCTTGTTTGGCTTAAAAACATAAATACATATCCTGAAATTTGGTCTGGCTGCCATGATTGGTACACAGATGGGAGAAAAAGAAAAATCAAGGTGTGTCTTCATAAAATACTTTTGCATAGAAACCACATCGAATGCATTCATGAAAGCAAACCAAAAATGTGTGATGAAGTGGACTGGAGTCCATGAAACGGTATGCCATTATAATAATGTGTTTTAAAGTGCCACAGGACTCTCTGTTGTTGTTTTCAAACCAAAAGCACAAAAACTTGTCAATCTAGTTAACTATACTAGCTACAATACTGCGTTAACAGTTTTCACAGACGGTTGGGAAATATCTTGTTAAAATATTATACCCAGGAAATTACGCTGTGACGTGCAATATCAAAAAATTCAGGTATCATCCATCCAAAATCTCCAGAACTGCTCACAAGATGTCATTGAAAAACTCATGGCATTGAGCCAGTATTTATGCTGTTTAGCTGCAGTTGCTCATAGCCTTCAAGATTCCAATTCTCAGGTTCCACCATTGCCCCACTTGACATTCTGCTGCCTAACCCAAGGCTCTTCAGGCTTCTATAACAGAGATGCAGAATGTGTGGTTCTCCAGATGCTGTTGGATTACAGCCCCTTCATCCCTTGCTAGTGGCCATGCCGGAAGGGATGATGTTTTGTTGGCATTCCGCGACATCTAGAGGACCACAGGTTAGCCTTGCTTGCCCTACAACATCAGAACCATTCATGGCATCAATAAAAAGGTAGACAAAAAGGATCACACCTTAACAGCTCAAAGAGTGGCATTCTCAAAGAGCTAAGACCACAAAGCAGAAGACAAACATACAAGTACCAAATACAACCCCAGTTCTGCATACAGTCTATAAAAAAATATTCTGTAGATCTTGGGCCAGTGCTCATTGTGCATCATAAAGAACAACTCAAGAGAATCCCGAATAAACATTCTTTCCATTATTATGCCAGTACACAATTAATTCCATGAAAAGTGGATTGCCAGTATCATGACTGCTCAACATTTGCAAAAAAAAAAGTGCAAACTTCTATTTCACAGTGGTTTGGACATGAGATGCATGACCATCAGAAGATTACTGTTCGCAAATATCAGAGGGTTCCCCCCTCCTTATTGTTTGTTTCATTCAGATGTCAGTACTACATCAACCATCTCTTCCATGGTGAGGCATGTGCAGATACTTAAATGCAGTTGTGTGCAACTTTTTACTGCAAGCAAGGATTTGTGGAGTGGAATCTTTACCCAACAGATTAGAATAGGGATAGAATGAGCAGGGACACTTCTACCCAAGCAGACTCTCTTCTTCCCAAGGCAGGTTGAGATGTTGAGACAAGAGAGGAGCATTTATCCCATAATCCCAATGAGAGTAAAAGGTGGCTCTCATTTCAACAGCTATTCAGCGCACTCTAGTCTTGGCCTATGCAAGGAGGACACTCCAGCTCAGGGGTTTCCCAAACTTGGGTCTCCAGCTGGTTTTGGACTACAACTCCCATCAACCCTATCTAGCAGGACCAGTGGTCAGGGATAATGGGAACCATAGTCCAAAAACAGTTGCAGACCCAAATTTGGGAAACCCTGCTCTAGCTGCTTCCCAATCCTATCCCCTCCCAGGCACTTTTTGCACCCTTGCTCAGGCACATCACTAAGAACAACCTGCCCCACACTTGGAGAACCACTGAAGGGCCAACCTTTACAGATCAGAACATGCTGTGCTGGCTGGGGCCAATGCAGTTCAAAACATCTAGAGGTTCACAAGCGCAGGAGAAGACCACTCACCAGCAGGAGATCAAAGGCCACTACTGATTGATTACAGTGCACTACAAATAAGAATTCACTGTCTATTAAAATTTATACAGATATTTACACCTTACCTTTAAACAGAGCACTAAGTTACATTTTTAACAATCACATTTGTAACTGTATTATTAATCTAGTATGAAGTCTAAAGCCAGCCTTGCAAGTAAGTCTGCAAAGGGTAGCAGCCCAGACAATTCATCCTGGTCTGCCTCCATTTACTTGGAACCCAAAACAAACAACTTCTTTTAAGTTTCCCTGCCCATTTGCCTAGAGGAGATTCCTACCTGCCACGTGTAACGAAGTGAGTAACCATTTGCAAACCCACTCGAAGCACACTTTGCGAGGAAACGAAGCTTCCCTTGAAATTAATGTCCCTATACTTCTCTTGATCCATAAGACGCTCTCAGGAGACAGAACCATTCAATAGATGTGCATATGTACCTGAATGTTACATCTCTGTTTGTTTTCATGTGCATACCTCTTTAACCTTTGCATCTACCAGAGGTGTGTGCAGAGAAGCTCCCTGTATGCTGGAAGATGCCTGTTTGAAGTGCAAATCATTGAAAAACAGGTTGCCCATAATATAGTTTGGGGGTGAGGAGGACACTCAGCTGCAATTAAGCATTTACTAAGAAATTGCCCTTGAGAAATCAAGATTTAAAAAACCAAAGAGCGCCTTTACTTCTAAATTTATGTAATAAAGTTATCGTTACGTACTAATTACAATATGTACATTTCTGAAAGCTAAAATCCAAAACAGTACCATAAAAATGCATGCTGTTGTTAATTTTCATGTTGTCAAGAGGCATGCTAGTTCAAAGTTACATTTACTTTTGTCATTGGCCTTTATTGGCATAAGTTACGTTTACTTTAAAAAGCGACATTTTAAATTTAGAAAGTAAGCCAATGCTGATCCATTTTGGTTTCCAGCACAGTTGTTTTAAAAATTATTATTATCCATATATCTTGCTTTGCACAGCAGGTTTATGTATCATTGTTCCATGGCACTATCAAGGCCACTGAATCTGGGGATTCAGCCTTCGGGCCAAAGTCATTCCAATAAGCAACTCCTATTTTTTAAAAGTACCTCCCTTACAACGCAACTTTACCACTGAAGTTTCGCTTACTGAGAGCTGGCTGGCACGTGTGTGCACATCACGTTTGCAGACATCAAATGGTGACACATTTCTGTAAAAGTCATCACAGATCCAGGACTAAAGACGGATAAAATTGCATGACATTACCTAGCAACAAAGCTTACACAACCGAGTGCTGAGTGATGCATATATGCCTGTGTGAACCAGCCCCAAACCTGCATGATACATGTTCAGTTTTAGCCTCTGCTAATGATACAGGTTACAGCCCTCTTATACCACTTACCTTCAGAGTACATTTCCTCTGACTTTTACAAAATTCGTCCAAGGTAAATAGTGCCAGGATTGTCACCCAGCCTCAAGAGCTTGCAATCTGGATTCCCGCTTCTTCCTGACTCCCATTGCAAACAACATTCAAAGCCCCAGTACTGAACTTTCTACGTTTAAGTGAACTGTCACTGTTTTATTCCCCACAGACGAGAAGTTTCATGTTATAAACCATAGCTTGCCATTCAGAGCTACATAAGCAGTGCAAGTTATCAATAAATATTCTAGCTGGAATCCGAATGGTTGCTTCCAATTCTGCTTTGTGCTGTTCTAGAGGGATTTTGGACTGTGTCTTCTTCAAAAAGCAGAGGCATTAAATTATTGTGGAGCTGTTTTTTTATAAATTACCCTCTGTTTTGAAAACAGTTTGCTGTTTAAGAAACACAAGTCTAAAGTCATCTTAGGTGTATGGAATTGGTTGCACAGTTGTTTGGATTTTGGAGCCTCTTTATAAAGAGCCTCAATGCATTTTAGAGCATGCTAAATGTTCTACAGCAAATGGATGATAAAACAATACCACCCTAAGATTCTGAATAGAAGGTGATGCCACCCCACAATTGCCCCCCACACCATTCCAAGTGAAACCTGCAACTTTCATCCAGGGGATTAGGCTGAACTATTAGGGAGACGCAACACAGCAGTGGCTACAAAACAATGCCATTTCCCCCAATTCCACAGGTGGAATATTTGCAGGCTTTGGTGGGAGCAACTATTGGACCACAACGCTAATGTAAGGAAGGAGCCATAGGACAAGTTTCTATTTACTCATATACTCTCTGCACGCTTGCTCTAGAACAACGAATGGGATCGCTCGAGTGGGTCTGATCAAATTGTCAAGGACCATCAAAACACTACAGGTTACCAGCTCATGATACTGGGGGAAAGGACAGAATTCTCATTACGTTCATAACATGAAAAGCCAGAGAAGGCGACAGAATTGGAACACAGCCATTTGACTCAAGGAGGGGCGAAGCCTTTAAAATTGGGCATGGAACTCTAATATACGCTTAAGAATAGCAGCTGCATCAGAGCTAATGTGCAAATGAGATACAAAACCTTGGTCTAGGCCTAGGGCAGCAAATTATATAGTGTGCATTTTCAGAAACTGACATTTCAATAACTTATTTAAATTAAAAGTTTCTAGTCCCAAGTATTCCTCTCCGCTACGCTTTCAGGCGGCAACCAGCTGTCCTGGAAAACCAGTTCAAAGGAAGCCGTTCACTCTGGGAGGAAAACCAGCACTGAGAGAATCGGAAAGCTGAAATGTGATGACATCTTTTGAGATCCCAGCAGTTTCAGATGCTGCTCCGTTCCTCAGTTTGGCTGATCCGGAAGACTTTAAAAGCTGCTTCCATGAAGACTACAGTATTTCCAGATCCACGTGGCGCACCTCAGGATTCAATTTCTGAAATGAAAACCATAATGCTTTTAAACAAGCACGTGGGAAGAATGTCAACACCGCACAATGGATCAAATCTTGTATTTGAGTTGAGGCAAGGACCCGAGTTCAGAGCTCTGCTCAGAGGCTCTCTTGGCAGCCTGGAGTGATCCACCTTCCCAGACTGAGGACAGGATAAAAAGGGAGAATCCCATGTACACAGCCCAGAGCTGCCTGGAAGAAGCGTGTGATCAGTACTGAACACATGCAAAATAAATCATTCGGATTTAACATTTTATTATTCCATCCTGTCTCTGAGGAGCTCAGGGTGCTTTCCATGGTCTTCTTGGACACTCACGTTACCATGAAAAACTGCCTGCGAGGTGAAGAGATTACAACTGACCAGAGGCCACATAACACATTCCACAACTGAGCAGGGACCTGAATCCAGGTCTTCCCCTTCCAAATTCAACACTCCACTGACTGCTCCACTTTTGTCCTCGTGGACTTGATGATTATGTTTCTGGGCAAGTAGAATCACAGAAGAGTTGGAAGGGAATCTAAACTAAAGCATCCATGACCGTGAACAACAAATTCTTGATGTAGGCATCCTCAGCTACTTCTTCTGAAGTGCTCCCTTCCATCGCAGTGGGGCTTCTTCAGGAGGCTGTTCCCAAAACGAGGTGGCCAGAGAAGCCAGACAAGAGCCTTGAGGCCAGTCATGGGGAACCTCCAGCCTCTGGGCCTCTCTCATTCTGGACCTTGGGGCTCTTCCCAGGCCACACACCATCCCTGTGCCTGGCTGGAAGGTGTCCCTGAACTTTGACCATGCATCTCTCTTTGCCTGGCTTTTGGAGGTAGGGCAACTAGCTTGCTTTTGCATCTGGCCCACCACCGATGTGCGGCCCCCAGAATGTTGTCCATAAGGGAATGTTAGCCCCTGGACAGAAACAGGGTTCCCGTCCCTGCTCTGGGTCTTTGTTTACGACGTTTTAACCACCCATGAACCGGAAATGGGCGTATTCGCCTAACGGAGCCTCAATTACAGAAGGAGAACATTTCCCCCCAAGGCCAGTTCGGCAAAGAAGTACATCTCCTTCTCCCTTTTCACCAGCCAAACTCTTACCTTCAGCTCCTTCTCAAGCCGGTCAACTTCTGCCCCAAGCGTGTCAATTATATTTTCGCCATGTTTCAGCATGAAATTCTCTAAGTCTTCAGGAGTCGTCACCTGCTGGATTTCCTGCCGTGAAGTTAAGCAAGCAAGCTTTAAAAAGCAGCAAGGGGGGAAATAACAAATATGCTTTCCTATCTTGTAAACACAAAGACTTCTTCACGTAACGAGTAATGCCATGCCTCAAAAAATGGGAGCACGAACCTATTTTCACTAACCGCTTAAACTCAAGTGTTGGCACAGAACTGGACTGTCAGCAGGCAGTGGTATCTATTAACTGGCTATATTCATGTTGTGTGTATTCCAAGTTTCTGAGCAGGTGCAGAAAATCCACAGAGCTAAGGACCCTTGAGAACCTCAGGCTTTTATTTACTTTTTTTAAAAAAAAGCAAGTTTCTAATGCTTACAGGTGCAAGGTTAAGCTTCAAAGCATCGCCTGGTGAAATCTCCAAAGCCAGAATTTTATTTGAACTTTTGGTAGGGAGGTGATAAAGCATGGCCAGCTTGCTGTCCTTCTCCAGAAATGCAGAAACATGCTTACAACCACTAAGGAGAGGAAGACAAACTTGCTTAAACTGCACTACTCACTCAGGCTGCAGAATCCCCAGTGCAGAATATGAATTAGCTTAGCACAGCTTTCTGTTTAACTAGATGTTACAAGTAGATCCCATTATTATACACTGTTTACAATATCCTTCATTTTTAAGAACACACTTCTTAGAAGTTAATAAGGCTTCCTTTTAAAAAACACACACACACACACACACACACACACACACACAGGATAAGTTTTATGGTAATGAAAACCATACCATGTTAAAAACTGAATTATCAGAGCAGAACTAAATACAAAGGACACAATCCAGGCAAAAGTTAGCCTTTTACATTCCATTTGTTTTAACTTTCCTAGAGCTGAATGTTTGTGAACATTCTAAGGCATTACATCAGCTCAGTCAAAAAATAATCCCCTTCTCATTAATGTAGGATTAAACAATTCCTTATTTATGTTGTTGTGAGCTGTGAAGTAAAGCTACATTGTAAATAATTCCCTGTTGTATTTACAGTGGAACCTCGGTTGTCAAACATCTGTTGACAAATGTTTCGGCTTTTGAATGCCAAAACCCCAGAACTGCTTCAGTTTTCGAACAATTTTAGGAAGCCAAACATGCTTCCGTTTTGAGTTTCCCTATTTGTACTGAGGCTTCCGCATTCAGTTTTCAAAAGTTTCGGAAGTCGAACGGTCTTCTGGAACAGATTATGTTCGAAAACCGAGGTTCCACTGTACTTGTCAAAAGTGTTCTACGCCAGCTTGAAAACCCACAAGGCAGATTTATATACAGCCTATAAACTTTAGAGGAATTGTGTATAAATACAAAGTACATATACCACTGATCTGGGGGTTTTAAGTGCACTTAAGAAAAACTACTGAAAACAACCACGCGTATTTATGCATACTTGTAGCAGCTGTTCAATGTCTTGTTTCTCCAGGTAAGACCGAGTAACAACCCGTCCATCAAAGTCGACTTCTGCTTTGAATCTCACTTTACTCATTCCCATATCTGTGGCTTTAACATCATGAATGGCTCTGAGATAAATATTTTGTAGGATGTGGTGGGACAAAGCAAAAACAATTAGGTGTTTCGAGCTGCCCAAGCAAACGGCCACATGACCCAAAACTTTCTTCCCATAAAAAAAAATAAAAATCCAAAGTTAACTTGAAAGAAGAACTCATTATTCCACCCATTACATGCTCTGTCTTTATTGTTGATGGTTTTTGCCATCAAAGAGGTCCTTCCCCACCCAACTCTCTTACCTTACAGCAGGGTCACTTTCCAGTAACTCTGTAAGTTTCTGTAGCTGGTCAGGTTGGATGGATCTTCCCAGCAGAGCTTCAGTGTTGGTGTAAATAAGGAAGGCTGATACAGCTCCCAGCAGTGTCCCCACACCAAGGGACCCAAGACTGTCGTAGTATGGGTTACCTGAAAGGATACACATAGACACAAATTCATTTCTCAAAAGGGATTGCTGTTGTGTGCCTTTTCCATTTCTCTCGGTGGAGATGATCGCTTAGGAATGAAGTTAGCCACGCTATGCTGTGCTCACACTTTTCGCTATGTAACCTGATGTCGTGGATTGGTTGCATAGCTGTCAACCGTCCCTTATTTGGCGGGAAAGTCCCTTATCCCAGAGCTGTGTCCCGCTGCTGTCCCTTATTGATGATGTCCCTTAAATTCCCCGGGTTTCAAAGGAAGCCGCTCCTCTCCCTCCCTCCCTCCCTCCCTGCCGGCCAGGGAGGAGGGAGGCTCCAACTGTGTTGCTTGGCTGCGTTGCTCACCCAATAAGAAGCCTAAGAACGACTGGGAGGTGGAGCTTGCATGCCTTGTGCTGATCACATCGTCCGCGTTGCCTGGGGACTCGCCTTTGCTCAGCGCTTCCCAGCGGAGAGGAAATGGTGGTTTTCCTTGCTGCATCCCCTTTGCCAGGTTGCTGCGCTGTGGGAACCACCACTTGAGGCTTCGTTTGGCTGCTGGCTGGGCTTTCTGCCTTTGGCTTGGAGGAGCTCAGAAGTTGAACATACCTGTGCTTGGAAAATCCCTTATTTCGGCTGCTGACCCCTTATTTTTGAGGCTGCTGGTTCCTTATTTTCAAATCTATAAGTTGACAGCTATGATTGGTTGGGTGCAGAGGAATGATGGGAAGAACTAGCTGGGGAAACACCAAGGCAAGAATGCTTAGAGCATAGCTGTCAACTTTTCCCTTTTCTTGCGAGGAATCCTATTCGGAATAAGGGAATTTCCCTTAAAAAGGGGGAAACGTTGACAACTATGGCTCAGAGCCCGGGGACTGGTGGCGGGAGAACGATGAGTGGGCAGAAGGGAAAAGACTGGGGAGGGAAGAGGTACTGGAAGCTGAAGAGGCAACAGGGCTTAGTGAGCTGGGAGAGTATGTGGCAGAGAGGAGCCCAGAACCAGAGGCAGAAGCTGAAGCAGAGGAGGAGGGAGGCCAAGAGGCAGAGGGGAGTCTGGCTGGTGAAGACCAGCTGTCTGCAACAAGCTCCCCTCCCCGCTTATCTCCCAGGACCAGAAAAGGCATGAAATGGGTGGAGGAGAGGTTGGCTTCATACAGGCACAGTCTCCAATTGCTTGGAGGGAAACCCTGGAGAGGAGGGAATTTAGATGGCTGCGTGGAAGTGGGGACTTTCACTCTCAGCAACTGATCCTACTTGCCCAGTAGGGGCCAGACCTACTGGGGATGAGCTTCTGTGGTCATTAGACCTGACACCCCAACAAGTCTGTGCAGACTGCATTCTTGCTAAAAAAAAGTTAACTCCAACTTGGACAGTGTGATTTACTGCCGCCTTGCTCCCAATGCCACGTAATGGATGGGACAAGAGCAACAAATGTAAGTTGCAGCATGCAATTCACATATATAGAAGTCATCACTAACCAGAAGGGTGAAGAGGGAGTTAAGGTAGGTAGAAGCAGTAATGGCCAATTAAGGTCTCCATTTAATTAAAATTGCTCTAACCCGCTCTTTGGAGCGTCTCCACCCCCATCGTTCTGCCCGGACACTGAGGTCCAGCGCTGAGGGCCTTCTGGCAGTTCCCTCACTGCAAGAAGCCAAGTTACAGGGAACCAGGCAGAGGGCCTTCTCGGTAGTGGCGCCCGCCCTGTGGAACGCCCTCCCATCAGATGTCAAAGAGAACAACAACTACCAAACATTTAGAAGACATCTGAAGGCAGCCCTGTTTAGGGAAGCATTTAATGTTTGATGTATTACTATATTTTAATATTTGGTTGGAAGCCGCCCAGAGTGGCTGGGGAAGCCCAACCAGATGGGCAGGGTATAAATAAATTATTATTATTATTATTATTAGGGAGAAAAAGTTGTATTAATCATGATCAATAATCATGATTAAAAACACACACACAGCCAAGATAGCCCCTGCCCACAGACTTACAGTCTAAAAGTCAGGACGAAAAAGGAAAAATGCATGAGAATGGAAGAGCAAAACTAGCGTGCTGTTAGAAAACTGCACAAGATCAGTGGGTTCCAGACTAGCCTTGACCCCAACGTGCAATTTTTCTATGCGCAAGGTTTTATAGAAGCAGGATTCAAATCTCCAACCTGCAGCACTCCAGTCCAGGAAAGTTTTGTGTCTACTTATCCTCAGTTTGTTTTAAGCACTTGACTATTACTGGGGTTTTTTTGCCAATTGCCTTAGAAGATGATTAGCTTCTTCTAACTTGCCCTGCTTGCAAGTTAGAAGAAAATTCTGCCAGGACTCAAACTCACAGAAAGGCTTACCTGTAAGAGAAGTCAGACCCATACAAGTAGCAGCTAATGTCACGCCCAGAACGGCTGCGGTATCTTCTAACAACACAACATTTGTGCTGGGATCACGAGCCTGCATGACTGAAGATTGAACATGGGTGCAACAGTGAGGTACTGACGTAGCCACACAAGTTAAACAAATGAAAACTTGCCAAAGCTTTTAATAAAGTGTTTGCTGCAAGTAGAGTTAAATGTTGATAATGTTTTAAAATATGATTCTACGGACATCTCAGAGTTCAGTAGTTATTATTTCCTTGGTAGCAACAAATTCCAGGAAGCACTAATGAACGAAAAAGGCTTTTCTTCCCATTTATGAACAATACAGGAGACATTAAGCTGTACAAATTCAAAATAAGTAAAAACGACACCAGAACAGCTTCTTGCTATGTTTTACAAAATGAGTTACGTCATCTCATGTTACGTACCATATTGGTAGAAGGATACATCTCTGGCCCGAGCGCTCCTTCGAATTTCATTTATAGCTACAAGAAGAGTAGCTGGAATAAAAGCAGTGAAATAATTGTTTCAGTAAGAGAAAGAACACAAGGGAAACATTTCAACTCCTGATGAAAAGAGAATGATACCGGGTAAAACAGCAAAGAAAATACAATATAAGAAATAAAAGAAGCAATGGAAACACAAGTAAAAATCATACAGCATACAGTGCACTGCAATTGCTACAACAGGTGAATAATAATAATTAAGTGGTCCACTATCAGCAAACTTTCAAATGAGGGGGGGAGTTGGGGAACCACTGCTCTAGACTAAGTGAGTTAAGATATCCAGTTCAGATTGGCTTAACTGCCTGCAACTAAGGTTCTATATCCAATTCTTGCTTGTGACTTGAAGGCCGACTTGAGATGAGCCTAAGAATTTGGAGGAAACCACCCTTCTTTATTCCTCTGAATTGCAGATTTCCATGCCAATATAAGAGACTTGCTTTTTTCATCTGGTCTCTTTCAAAAGGTGTTCGCTGTGCAATCCGAGGAGCCCATCAACAAAATCCCCTCTCACAGCACCAGCTGTGCGTTTGTTTGCATCAAGTTCTTTAACTTAAGTGATTTGATCAACATACCTAGATGCCAAATCACAAGTTTTATTTATATATTTACAAAACGCCCTCCGTGTCAGAAGTTAGGTGGGTGAGGCAAGCAGGAGTTTCATCCCCCAGGACACAACACACACACACACACACACACACACACACAGCACTTTAGATTTGCATGCTAAAGAGTTAAACTACAATAGCTTGAAATGTTATATGCTTAATTTTGTATGCTCACTTAGAAGCAAGTTCAAGCCTTAAAAAAAACTATTAATGCATCAGCAAAGTAATGGCAAAGTAATAATGCATTTTCCCACTGGAATACATACCTCCTTCAGACACCAGTGATCCTGCTAAAATACAATAAGCCTAGAAGTAATAGGGGAGAATGTAGTTATACAGTAGAATGCCTTGGGGGGAAACAGTAGTTTGGTTTTTTTTCAGGAATAAAAAACAGCTTCCTATATTGTGAGACAAGACTGAAGCAGAAGAGCCAAAATATTAAAATTGTAGTAATCTCAAGAAGCACTCTAGTCTCCTGACTCATAGGCTAAGGGCCAGGACTGTGTTTTGCCAAACTGGTCAGACTATGACAATGGTGATACTCTGTAGCAGTAGTGACTTCCTAGTTTTGAAGCACACGAAACTCAGGCATACTATAATATGCAACACTATTGACATATTGCATCCAAAATCAAAATTTTATTGCATCAAAAAAAAAAAAAGAGACCTAGCATTAAGATGTGGTCTCTGTCTTTACAGCCTGAAAACATGCCCTACTTCTTGCAATACTCACTTAAAGACCAAGATGGATTGCTTTTTCTGCAGCCCAAATGCTGCCAGCTTACCCATTCCCCTGCCTTCCCCCCCCAAATAAAAGAAGTTATCAAACACAGCAAGGTGAGCCCCACAAAAACTACCCACTGTCTGTGTCCAACGCTGCTGTTCTGCTAGCACAGCGGGCTAACGATATTAAACTTCACTAAAGCATTGCAATTTTCAAAAGACAATGACAACTCACCCAAAGAAGAGATTCCATGGGCTGAGGATTCATCAGACCTATGATGCCGTGATACCATGAGAGCCCTGCGCCCATCATGAAAATGCCAACGCCACTGATCAGGGATGCAATGTAGCGCATGTTTGTGAAGCCATATCTGGGTGGAGATTTGGGAGCGGGAGGAGAGAGAGAGAGAGCGCATGCAATATTTGCGTACAAAATTCCTTTGTATGGAGTCAGACCGTTGGCTCCACCTAAGTCTGGACTGTCTCTATACTGACAAGCAGCCAGCTCTCTAGGGCATGGGTAGGCAAACAAAGGCCCAGGGACCGGATCCAGCCCAATCACCTTCTAAATCCAGCCAGCGGACGGTCCGGGAATCAGTGTGTCTTTACATGAGTAGAATGTGCCCTTTTATTTAAAATGCACCATTCCTCCTCTGCCCAGTCCCAGACACCAACGCATCCAAAACCACTATCTCCGTGATGCCATTCTCAGTAATCTTGGCTGCATCACAGTCGCTGGGGGGGGGAGCTAAAGAGTGTGTCTGTGCAAGAAAGGGGGAGGGCGAGTTTGTGTGTACATGCACAGGAGAGGAAGGTGTGTGCATGTGTGCGCATTTCTGTGTTAAAACGTGTATGTAAATAGATATGCGATGGACTCCAGCGAAGGACTTGCCCGCTGCTGGGTCTGGCTTGCCCTGAGGCATGGGACCCCCTGATCACCTGCTGTCATATATCGACCTTGAAAGCAACATGGCTGTCCGTCCCTGTCTTACAAGAAAAAGCAGAAACCTGATGTCTCCCCATGTTTTGGAGCCCACTGGGTAGCTAAAAATCGTATCGGCTCTCATGTATTTTGAGGGTGTTTAAAAAAACAAAAACAAGTGGGGTGTGGGGGATTCCCTGGTCCTGAATGGGGTAACTGTGCCCCTGAAGAACCAGGTGCGCAGCCTGGGGGTCATTTTGGACTCACAGCTGTCCATGGAGGTGCAGGTCAATTCTGTATCCAGGGCAGCTGTCTACCAGTTCCACCTGGTACGCAGGCTAAGACCCTACATGCCCGCAGACTGTCTCGTGAGAGTGGTGCATGCTCTATTTATCTCCCGCTTGGACTACTGCAATGCGCTCTAAGTGGGGCTACCTTTGAAGGTGACCCGGAAACTGCAATTAATCTAGAATTAGAATTAATCCAGAATTAATCCACCAGCTAAACTGGTGACTGGGAGTGGCCGCCGGGACCACATAACACCGGTCCTGAGAGATTTGCATTGGCTCCCAGTACGTTTCCTAGCACAATTCAAAGTGTTGGTGCTGACCTTTAAAGCCCTAAACGGCCTCGGTCCTGTATACCTGAAGGAGCGTCTCCACCCGCATCATTCTGCCCGGACACTGAGGTCCAGCACCGAGGGCCTTCTGGCGGTTCCCTCATTGCAATAAGTGAGGTTACAGGGAACCAGACAGAGGGCCTTCTTGGTAGTGGTGCCCACCCTGTGGAACGCCCTCCCTTCAGATGTGAAGGAAATAAGCAGCTATCCTATCTTTAAAAGACAACTGAAGGCAGCCCTGTTTAGGGAAGTTTTTAATATTTAATGCTGTATTGTTTTTAATACTTGATTGGGAGCTGCCCAGAGTGGCTGAGGAAACTCAGCCAGATGGGCGGAGTGTGGAGTTTGGAACTGGCAGGGTTAAAACTCCGTGGTGCCCTGTATCTGGGAGGAGCTCTGGGAGGAGCTTGATGCAGGGAAATGCGTCACAGTGTGTGTCTGTGTTCAGTTCTACTTTCACTTCTGACTGAGACAGACACAGCTCAGCTCAGAGGAGCTGTGAGGGTGCTTTTGGAAGCACGGAGAATGGCTGAAGTTTCCGATGGATGTTAATGGATTTATTGCCTTGTAAATAAACGCTTCTAAAGATAAGAACCGATCTGCCTATGGACTTGATTTATCCCTTTCTCACATGGACTCAGGACCGCTGCATTACTCTGCTAGGCCAGCTCAGAGCTTCCAGGGATACGGAGCTGGACTGGGAAGCTTGCTGGACCCAATATTCCGGACGGGGATTTTATTTTCACCCCCAGAGGTTATGGATCTTACGTGTTTCCTGACATGTGTGAGAAGGGAGGAAAACCGCCAGCTTTGAGTTGCTGTGATCTCCTGCCAGGAAGGGCAGTGGGAGATGCTGGTGATCGGAGCCAAGAGCCAAGATAGACGGCTGCTTCGGAGGACCAGCTTGCTGGCAGAGTGAGTACGCTTGAAGCCCCGGGGGGAGGAGATGGCTGCTGCTCAGGCACAGGGCCATGAGAGCTTCAATATCCCCTTTGAAAGGCTGCATGGAGCCAATTGGGAAGCCTGGAGTACACGCATGTACTACTGGCTGGCAGAAAGGAAGCTTTGGGACTACACCCAAGCTGATCCAGTCCTTGCCCAGCCCAGTGAGAGGTCTGCAGGAGCAGTGGAAGCAGACGTGGCTGCTCTGAAGAGAGAGCAAAGGGTGCTAGCAATCCTGAGGGCCAGCGTTGATACTTGGCTGTTGCCAAGGCTGCAAGGGAGTAAGCCCTGGGTCGCGTGGCAGGCACTGAAGATGGCATGTCAAGCCTCAGTGGGAGCCAGGCCAGAGGGGGCTGAGAGTTGCCCAGAGAAAGCATCAAGCCCAGAGGGGGCTGGAGCAGTGTTGGAAAGCTGCTTTTATGCTTCAACACATCTGTGTGATGGACTGTGTGCTGGAGAGAGGCTGAGAGCTGGCAAGAGGAAGGCAGTTGCAAGCTGTTCCTCAGGCAGACAGGCACCCAACAGTGGGGGTGCAGGCCATGCAAGCCGATGCAAGAGCTCTGAGAAAGCGAAAGTCTCCAAGAGTTGTTTGTGCTCTGAGGCGACGTCCAACAGCGCTGGGAAGCATCCGCTGGAAGCCCAGGCTGTCAAGGACACCAGCTGGAGTGGAATGTCAACAAAGCAGGTTCCCAGAGCTAGACGTGGGAAAGCTGCAGGCCAGGAGAAAAACAAAGACAAGGCGTCTTATCATCTCACAGCTGCGACAGTGTGCCTGGGAAAAGGCAAAAGCCTTGATCGGGGGGAGGCTGTGTGCATGGCAACCAGACAGAACACTGACTTTGACTCTTGCAGAGGCCCCGGTGGGGGTGCGAGCGTTGCCATGGCAGCTTTGGAAGACAGCCAGAGAGACACTGTATCTCTAATTATAGACACGGGAGCGACTCACTGTCTTGTGCCATCTGCTGGGCTCCTGAGGAACTGCAAGACAGTTAAAACTGGACGTTATGTCAAAATGGCAGATGGAGTTAAAAGACCACTGACTAAATCTGGGTCTTTATATTGTTCTTTTCTAGATTGTTGGGTGCAAGCTTATGTTGTCCCAGAGCTTGCGCACTCTCTTTTAAGTGTAACAGCCTTAAATGATGAAGGGTTCGATGTTCGGTTCTCTAACAAATTATGCTCTTTTTACAGGGATGGAAAGAAGGTCTACAGCGTTGAGAGAACAGACAGGCTCTTTCTGGTGCAGATGCCTGTTGGAAATGGGGCTGGTGGAGAAGTGGGACTAGTGGAAAATGGGACTGGTGGAAAAATGGGGCTGGTGGAAAATGGGGCTAGTGGAGAGTCCATTGAAGACGCACAAGTGCAGTGTGCTAATGTCCCACCACACAATGATTGTATTCATCTGTGGCACCGAAAATTTTGTCACGCTGGGTGGTCGTCTGTGCGAAAAGCCGCAGAGAACACCATTGGTTGTAGGTTCAAGGCATGTGACAGATACCTTGATTGTCAAGCCTGTAAGCAATCTAAGGTCACAACATGCTCATACCCCAGGTCAGAGAGGCGAACCAGCAAACCCTTTGAACTTGTGCATGCAGATTTGTCAGGACCCATGCCAACACCTTCTTTAGCTGGGTCGAAATGGGTTTTGGTTCTGATTGACGATTTTTCGAGGTTTTCTTGGGTTTTTGCGCTTCAATGTAAGTCAGAAGCAGCTGCACTGATCAGAGATTGGATCACAGCGATAGAGCTGCAGTTCTCTACCAGGGTGATTTCCTTTCAATCTGATCGCGGGGGTGAGTTCACAGGTTCTGCGCTGCAATCGTTTTTCAGGCAGAAGGGTATCAGTCATCGATTGACTGCCCCCTACAGTCCGCAACAGAATGGGATTGCAGAGAGGAAGTTTCGCACACTACAAGAATCAGCAAACGCAATGTTGGCAGATTCGGGGTTGCCACAGCGTTTTTGGGCTGAGAGTTATCGGACAGCATGTTTTGTGCAGAATAGGGTGTACAATTCCAGTGTAGGCAACACACCGTATTTTTTGTTGCATCAGAAGAAGCCGAAGGTGGGGTTTTTTCATGTTTTTGGGTCTCCGGCTTGGGTTCTCACTCCAAAGGCCATGCGCAGAAAGGGTGAGCCAAGGTCTAGGAAGATGATCTTTGTGGGCTATGAGCCGGGTTCAAAGGCGTGGCGTTTCGCATACCCTACTGGCAACCAGTCCAAGCTGCTTATTAGCGGCAGTGCTGAGTTTTGCGAGCAGAGTGGGTGGAAACGTCTTCACGGGAACCCAGATGTTCTGTCAGACTCAGATGAGGAAGAGGAGGAAGGCGAGGCTGAACCGGCTGCTGATGCGCACGGTCCACAGCAACAGGGTCCAGCGCCAGTTTCTCCAAAAGGGAGTCCCAGGACCCCTCCACAGGTTTCTGTCAAGTCTGAGCCAAAGAGTGAGCCCTCCCCGCCTGCAGAACCAGTTGTGAGGCCAAAAAGGCGCAGGTCAGAGGGGGAGGTTTCTGACACAGGAGATGGTAGGGTTGATCCAGGTGAATCAGGCGCAGTTCCAGAATTCACGCTGAGGAGGTCAGCAAGATCAACGAAAGGAAAGCCACCTGAAAGGTATGAAGCCACTAGTGTTTGGGTTGGTGTGGCTAGGTGTGAACCTGAATCCTTTGAGGATGTTCAGAAGTTGCCTCAGCAAGAAGCTAGCAAATGGCGCGAGGCGATGCAGAAGGAGATGAACTCAATGGAGTCTCATGGTGTGTTCTCACTCACACAGCTGCCGGCTAACCAGCGAGCTGTTACTTGCAGATGGGTTTACCGATTGAAACCCACAGAAGCAGGAGAACCACAGTATAAAGCGAGATTAGTGGCCCGAGGATTCTCACAGAAAAAGGGGGTACACTTCACGGAAGTGTATTCGCCAACCTCGAGAGCAGAGACTCTGAGAATGCTTTTGGCGATAGCAGCACAGAGAGGTTGGAAGGTGAACCATTTTGATGTAGATGTCGCCTACCTGAACTCAGATCTCAAGGAGGAGTTGTACATGCTTCCTCCTCCAGGGTTTGAAGTCAGTGAGCCAGGCGTCGTGTGGCGGTTGCACAAATCCATCTATGGATTACGTCAATCTGCCAGGAATTGGAATATGTGTCTACATGAAGCCTTAGAGGAGCTAGGTTTTAAGAGATCTCTTGCAGACAGTTGTCTTTACATTAGAGGTTCAGGCTTAAAACAGCAAGTGGTGCAGGTGTTTGTTGATGATATCTTGGCAATGGCACAGACAGGTGAACAGGTGGAGAAGTTTGCTAAAGAGCTTGGAAAACGGTTCAAGCTGAAGCAGCTTGGAGATGTCAAGTCTTACCTAGGCGTCCAGATAGCGAGGACTGAGGATGGTAGTTTTTTGCTTTGCCAGAAAGGTAAGATTGAACAGTTGCTTGAGAAGTTTAGGATGAGTGATTGTGCAGGAGTGAGAAGTCCTATGGAGACTAGTTTTGTGAAGGACAATCAGCAAGTAGAACGCGCTGCGTTCGAAAATACTGAAGTGTTTCAGTCAGCTCTAGGGAGTCTGTTGTATTTGTCCCAGTGGAGCAGACCAGACATAGCATTTGCTGTCAATCTGCTCAGTAGAGAGGCTGCAAGTCCTAGTGTACAAGCCTGGAATGGCATCAAGAGAGTTCTGAGGTATTTGCAGGAAACCAGAGACTTTTGCCTTAGGTTGTCAGCTCAAGGAGAAGTCAAACTGACTTGCTTTGTGGACTCGGATTGGGCTAACTCTGAGGATCGCAAATCAGTATCAGGTCTAGTGATGAAGTTTGGGGACTCAGTAGTTGGGTGGAGGTCCCGGAAGCAAAGTCTCATAGCGCTTTCGTCTACTGAAGCTGAGTTCAGTGCGCTATCAGATGCTTGCAGAGAGCTGGAGTTCTATGTGTGTTTGGTCAAAGAAATCTGTGAAGAGGATTGTCTGCCCGTTGTGGTGCATGAAGACAATCAACCATGCCTTAAATTAGCTGAGACGGGGCAATTCAAGGCGAGGACGAAACATTTGGACATACGTTTTCAAAATGTGTGTCAGAGCGTTCGAGAGGGGCTAGTTGCTCTGAAATACTGTCCCTCAACCAAGAACCTCGCTGATGGTTTCACAAAACCATTGACCTTCCAGAAGCACGAGGAGTTCTGTGAGGGTCTGTGTATGGGGAAAGCATTGTTGGCTATTGTCCCCAGATGCAGGACAAGAGGGGGTGTGGAGTTTGGAACTGGCAGGGTTAAAACTCCGTGGTGCCCTGTATCTGGGAGGAGCTCTGGGAGGAGCTTGATGCAGGGAAATGCGTCACAGTGTGTGTCTGTGTTCAGTTCTACTTTCACTTCTGACTGAGACAGACACAGCTCAGCTCAGAGGAGCTGTGAGGGTGCTTTTGGAAGCACGGAGAATGGCTGAAGTTTCCGATGGATGTTAATGGATTTATTGCCTTGTAAATAAACGCTTCTAAAGATAAGAACCGATCTGCCTATGGACTTGATTTATCCCTTTCTCACATGGACTCAGGACCGCTGCATTACTCTGCTAGGCCAGCTCAGAGCTTCCAGGGATACGGAGCTGGACTGGGAAGCTTGCTGGACCCAATATTCCGGACGGGGATTTTATTTTCACCCCCAGACGGAGTATAAATATTATATTATATTATATTATATTATATTATATTATATTATATTATATTATATTATATTATATTATATTAATTATATTATATTATATTATATTATATTATATTATATTATATTATATTATATTATATTATATTATATTATATTATATTATATTATATTATATTATATTATATTATATTATATTATATTATATTATATTATATTATATTACAAAAGCTAACACAACCTAAATGGAAAACCTCAAAGACTGTAGTCCATCATTGAAACACAATACATTAGAACTTGTCATTTGCCACAAATCGCTTTCCAGTATTGGCAGGTGCCAAAGAAAGGAGCACATGGACAAAACTGACCTTACATGTGAAAAGCCCAAACTACCAGCTGTTTTCATCAGACCTGGAACCTGAATGTACGCAGCGATACGTCGCAACGTTAAGTTGGAAACATTGAAAAGGTGTCCGATTTGGGCTTCGAAAGACATTCTAAACTACTTTAGAAGTTAGGGACTTTTAAAACTAAAAAGGAAAAAAAGATAACATACGGATGACTGGGATCTGGCGTCCTCACCGACTGACTGATTCCCAATGCTAGTAAAGCCTGGATAGGAAAAGAAAGCAGAATTGAACAATTTTGAAATCATCAAAAGCTTTTGAAAGAGATTAAACAGAGAATGCCACTCTATACTCCGAAATGGCAAAGATGACCATGAGGATCAGGCAATAAAATGACAAGAAATTCAGTCAAGAGTGGAAAAAGTTTATAGACTATCTTAAAGACCACTGTATATAATTAAATACATTAGCAGGACTGTTGTGACACTTATAATGTAATATGAGTAAAGGTAAAAAAGGAGAATATTATTAATAATAATGAAAAATTGGAAACCGGGGGGGGGGGAGTCCAATGGATCTGAGTAATCCCAGAAATGTAGAAATTGAAAAGGATGTGAATGTATAAGAACATTGTCTTTAAAAAATGAAAAATAAAATATTTTAAAGAGAGAGAGAAAAATGCCACTCTAGTAATTCAGATTTACTGCAGACAAAAATAATACCAATTTTAATGTTTGGGGAAGAAATCAGGAAATTTTAGTTGAAACAGAACAGGTTTTGACCTGGCAAAAACCCATCAGGAAAACGCTCATAGGAAGTATTTCAGATCTTCATTGTGAATCATTGTGGGTTCAATGCATCGAGGAACAACATTGGTGGCACGCTACTTTGTCACTACGTAAAGAAGACATCCATCTCATTCAGAAGAGCAGGCACAGGTGGCCTGCACCACACACTTGCCAGAGGCCCCACACAGCCCACCAGATGCTTCAACAAACCTCATTTCTACCTGCGCTCAAGGCAGAACGTCTCAGCAAAAGCAAAAAACTCAGCATGCATGTGCGACGCCATAGAAATGTCTCTCCACTACACATGCTCTTTCAAACAGCAATCCATCACACCAGCAATTGGGACGTGAAGGGGCTTTGCCCAAGCGTATTTTGCTCCCTGCAGACTGTTGGAAAGCTAGAATGGCTCACTAGAATATGTCTGATGATGCCAAATGAACTGGCCTTATAATTTTACAGCCTAAGGAGGCTATTCTTTTTTAATAGAAAGCGCAATGTTTCAAACAAAAAATGTTAACCACCCTGGCGGATGTGCAAATGTCTCAGTTCCAGTAAATAGCAGATTAGCTGAGAAAGAAAGTGTGCTTGAAATACTGAAGGAAGCTGTTCGTAGATTCGCAAAAAAGCTTCAACCTCGGCCAGGCTGCTGCTAACCCAAACACCCCACTACTTCAAGGGCCAAACCCATATGGAGAATTAAACCAAAACGTTGTGAAGACAAACTCGAATTCTCAATTGTTTGAAAGAATGACATTGCAGCCTTAAAGCTTTAGGTGTTGGGGTTGTTTTTCATTATTTAAAACTGTAGGGATGTTCTTATCTAAATTTGCAAGCCAACCCACCTTGACTAACATATTTGAAAAGGCAAGGCAGTGATTTGTGTTTTCCCTGCTATCTTCAGTTACCCTTTCCTATTCGTTCTAGCCCTATTTAGGGCATAAGTGAGTGACAGGAGGAGTCATGTTCTTGGCCCCGCCCCCAGTGTCTCATCTTTTTCTTTCAGTAACCAAAATATATTAAAAAATTGTCCAGTAGCACCTTAGAGACCAACTAAGTTTGTTCTTGGTATAAGCTTTCGTGTGCAGCAACCACACGTTGAATGCAGTTGTGGGAGAAGAATGAAATGGTTTTAGAATAAAATAGTTGTTTTACTATGATTCAATGTAAACACTCTGTTTTGCCATACACCTTGGAAGATATTTCTGTTTTGAAAAGTGGCCTGGACACAAAATTATACTAAATACTTGACAAAGCAAGCGTAGTCGCTGCATATAGACCACCATTCGTAGCAGGAAATATAAAATACTGCGAACAGAGACAAAAACGCAATGGACAGGCTCCAGCAACCCGTGGCCCGTTTGCACTTCCTGGCAAGTCTCCCGGCCACTTTATAAATACACATTTCCGCTTCACACTTCGCTGCGCTTATAGGGGGAAGCGCAGCCGGTGAACAAAAGGGTCAACATATAAGTCCGACACAGAAACGGCCAACGAAATAGAGAATACTCACTTGATTGCAAGTGTCTGCTAAAGAATGGATGGCTTCGGAGAACATGCTTGCAGAACCCGTGTAAACCCAAGCAAGGAGCTTAAAAAAGAAATTCAAGCCATTTCTGGGGATAGAGAGAGGGGGGGAATCCTTATTGACAGTTTTCTAAGCACCATACTCAGATTAAAATGCTACGATCGCTGCCTTTATCGTATGAGAAAGAAGGGAATGAATAAACAGTCCAAATTACCAGGCTGTCGGGGTTAGTTTGGGGTGGGGGGAGCCGATACAGGGAACAGTACAGTGGTGCCCCGCAAGACGAATGCCTCGCAAGATGAAAAACTTGCTAGACGAAAGGGTTTTCCGTTTTTTGAGTTGTTCCGCAAGACGAATTTCCCTATGGGCTTGCTTCGCAAGACGGAAACATCTTGCGTGTTCTTGCGAGTTTGTTTCCTTTTTCTTAAAGCCGCTAAGCCGTTAATAGCCGCTAAGCCGCTAATAGCCGCTAAGCCACTAATAGCCACTAAGCCGCTAATAGCCGTGCTTCGCAAGACGAAAAAACCGCAAGACGAAGAGACTCGCGGAACGGATTAATTTCGTCTTGCAAGGCACCACTGTACATCAGAACTGGATGTAGAAGACTGGGAGCATGTTGCAAGCTCCCTCTCCCTTCCATGTTTTGCTTTCATCATGGTGCAGCACTATGTCTGCATCAGCATTAACCACAAATGGTATTTACAAAATTTCCCCATCATCAAGCTTAGAATAGCTAGTTATGGGTCTGAGAGGGGTGGGGAGAGGGGGAGGGAGAGAGGGGGGTACTTGTTGGCAGACACCAATGCTAAACCCTGGAAAGATCCAATCTGTGTGGGAGAGGGAAGGATGAAGGGCACATCTACAGCACACATCCCTGATGTCCAAGCGGAAAGTTACAGCCAGAATGGATCACGGCAACTTTGCAGTCATGAAGTAGAAATTGACTGGAAACCACAAATTTTAAAATGTACATCCAAGCTGGGCATACTACTAGCAAATATGCTAACTGAGCTCTCCTTATAAAAGTGAAATTCTGCTTTCCAGGATATGACTGCACAACCCACAACTGAAACAAAAAAACAACCCCCACCAATTAACCTTAATCTGCATGCCGGAACCTAGAAACATGTACGCCTAAAAATTAAATAAAAACTTACATGCAAATAGCAACCATGACAACTTTTCCTGGTCCACTCAGAAACATAGTTGACGTGCTGGAACGTGGCTAAATTAAACACAAGTACACTGTTTAAAATTCATTGATTACATTATGGAAAACCATATATGCAGAATGCTAACTTCTACCTCTGTATAATAGCTAGTCCTACAAGATATAAACCAGGTTAAATAAATTTTAAGCAAGTTTATGTGTGAGTTGCAATTAATTATGGCTATTCAACTAAGTCTCAATGTATCCCCAACTGAATTTATTTTATATCCCACCCACACTTGATTTACAGATTCCCTTTAGTTTTAGATGAATCACAGAATCATAGAGCTGGAAGGGACCCAAGGGTCATCTAGTCCAACCCCCTGCAATACAGAAATCTCTTGCCCAACGAGGGGCTCAAACCCACAACCCTGAGATTAAGAGTCTCATGCTCATGAAGGAACGCAGCATTTTAGAAGTGACATTCCTTCCTGCAAAGAGAGAGAAAGGAGGAATGCTTTTTCTAAGGAGGTGTCTGTCACCTCAGTTTTTGGGGAGTACTTGTGTTTTGTAAAATAAACCTGGCGCCTAATCACAGCTCAAGGGCACATTGCAGTGAGGCAAAAGCACTCGAGAAGGGGGTGGAGCAAGATGGTGAGGGGCATGGCCTGGCAAGATGGCCGGACAGAGGCCTGTAAGGGTCAATTTCAATCTGTTTGAGGTTCCCTACCCTCATCCTAAACCAACTTATCCCTGCTCACCAGGCTATTGTGTGTTTTTCTGTACTCCTGCAAAACCACAAGATGCACAAAACTGCAGCTTTTGCCTATAAAGGAACAGCAAAGATGGAAAACATTTCACCCACCTTAGTTTCTCCTAGGAAATCTTTGTATTCCTTCAACAACCTCTGGTTTCTAAACAAATCTGAAAAGATACATAATTATGAAGTGGGCAGTGTGAGCGGAGAGAGAAGCAGAATACAGACCCTTTTTTTCCTGACACAATACACAAAACTATGCAGCATCCCAAGGCATCTGCATCAGGGCAAGCCACACTCCTCAGCCCACTTCTTCCTCTGCAACCTGTATGGCCCGATAATTTCTGCAGAGTTTTGCACTATGTTCTATAAACCCTGGCTTGTTATGTACAAAATAGGCACCATGGCTTTTTCAGTTGATTTGTTTTTGTGACTGTGTGGAACTCAGTTCAGCTACTGATTGATTGTGTGACTGCGGAAATGGATAAAAGCCCCCCATCCAAACAATGACTATCATCAATGCAGGCAAGAAAAAAAATTAATTAATTTTAATTTTATCATCTACAATACTGTCTTATTTGTTTTATAGTACAGTACATTGATTATTGCTTTCATTGTGTGGATCAATGGTCTCGATAGATAGTTAAATTCATGTTAAATTGCTGTTTTAGGGCTTGTTTTTAAAAGTCTGGAATGGATCAATCCATTTTGCATTACTTTCTATGGGAAAGTGTGCCTTGGTTTTGGAACACTTTGGTTTTGGAATGGACTTCCAGAACAGATTAAATTTGAGAACCAAGGTACCACTGTACATGAGGTACGGCATGGAGACTGGCTGCTGGGCTCTGTCAAATGTACACTTGGGGGGGGGATGCATTGCAAAACTTTCCACAAATACTTCACAGCCACACTGAAACCTGAGCTGAAAATAGAAATGTTCAAGACTTTGTCCACCCCCATTATTCGTGATGAGAACACACAACTAACTTCAAGCCTGGAGGTGACATTACAGAACGTGCATTGATCAAATATACTGTACAGGAGTCAGAACTCTTAAACTCTTTTTTTCTTTCTTTCTTTCTTCTTTTTTTTTTTTTTGTAGCATTCCACACTTACTCTCTCTGTATTCTATTTCTGCTTCTTTACGCCTTTTTCTTTCACGTGCAAGAGCTTCCGGGCTCCCCCAAACTTCTAAAGACCTGTACCAGGAGGAGGAGAGAAGGAAGAGAGAAAGTGATAGGAAGTGAAGAAAAAACTTCATTTAACTTGCATGATGATGATGATAATAATATGTTGTTCTTATATTTATACCCCGCCCATCTGGCTGGGTTTTCCCCAGTCACTCTGGGTGGGTTCCAGCACAGTTAAAAGATCCTTTATGAAATAATACACTTTGTTTTCTATTGCTTTTGACCCCAACCTGTAGTTTGGAACTGCAACTACCATCAGCTCCAGCCAGTAAACCAGACCAAACCATCTGCCCCAAGTCAGGGAAGCCAGCTTTTGACTATGGAAAAAAACAAAACAGCAAAGCATTTGCATTTTCTGCCTCTTGCAATTTTAAACACAGGTCGGTGTGGAAGTATGACACCACCCCAAGCTGAACTGAAGAGAGAGGCTTTGCTGATTCTGAAAGTTCTTGGTGAACTTAATTTTCTCACAGTAACATAGCATGAGGTTTTACTCATCTAAGCCCAGGTACCCTCAGCAACACAGGGAATGGCAAAGGCACTACTATCAACTGTAATATATGGGAAAGTGTTAGAAGTTAAATACAGTTGTACCGTGGAAGTCGAACGGAATCCATTCTAGAAGTCCATTCGACTTCCAAAACGTTCAGAAGCCAAAGCGCAGCTTCCGATTGGCTGCAGGAAGCTCCTGCAGCCAATCAGAAGCCCCGGAAGCCCCATCGAACATTTGGGTTCCAAAAGAACGTTCACAAACCGGAACACTCACGTCCGGGATTGCAGTGTTCAGGATCCAAGGTACGACTGTATATATTTTGGATAGCCAAACCCAGGAAATGTTGTCAGACTCGCCCTTACTTTGCCTCCACGTCCGTCCTCAAAAACACAGTGAAAGCCTCTGTGTCGTCATGGGGGCTTCGCCGCCTGATTTTCCTGAGCTGATCTAGGTCACTGTTGGGAAAACAGAAACAGTTTTGCGGAGAGGAAGGCAGTATTACCACCAAGCATTAATCTACTTACTGAAAAGTAACACGGTCGTCACAATATGCGATTTCTGGCTCACTAACAGCAGGCAGCAATTTTACAACCTCCCCAGGTTCCAACGTGCGGCTTGCTCTCGTATTAAAAGTCAGAAAGATGTACAGACCAATTCTTTTCATTCCCTGTACCAACCTGCCAGCTGCCTACGATCTGGCGAAGAGGCTCTTCTCTGCTTTGGCAGAGGCTCAGTTGACAGGGAAGAGAGAAAAGGCGTTCTCTGTAGCCACATGGCCAGTGGTCAGGGATGATGTGGGCTGTATTCCAGCAAAATCTGGAGGGCTACAGATTCCACAGCCCTGCTATCGAGTAGTGCTGTTCACATGCTGCTCACATTCAGGGCACAGCCCTATCCAAGGGAGGCAATGCGGTGCAGTAGATAGTGTTGGACCCTGAGAGATCAGGGTTCGAATCCGCACTAAATCATGACACTCCCTGGGTTATCTGAGGACAGCCTTACCTGTCTCACAGGGTTGTTGTGAAAATAAAATGGAGGTGGTGGAAGAGCCATGTTGAGCTCAGGGAAGGGAAGCTGGGACATAAATGTAATTTTTGAAAATATGGCGGCGGAGCAGGGCCACACTTTTCCTCCCTGCCACTAAGTCTTTTTTTCTGCAACAAGTGACATTCAAATGTGAGCACCTATTCGTGTGTAGGGGCTCAATGCAATGAGTCACTGTGCCACCAGGTATCCCAGAAACCATGCACACCACAGAAATACAGACACGGAGTGCTAAACCATGGTTTGCTCAAACCGTGGTGAATTCATTATAGTTAGCACAAGCCATTGTCTGGCATGATAGCTGAACTGAGCCTCTCTCCTTGAACGTCTACATAATATTGAACTGCACTCACAGTACCCATTAACTGTGAAGTCCCTAGGTGGTGCCAACTTTATTATGAAGCTGACCACTCTCAACCCCGGTGAAAAGTATGTGATAACCAAGAGAACAGAGCTGTCCCCCAAACCCAAAATGTTACCCATAACCTCTGGTATCATGATCCTCTCCCATTCCTCTGGCTACTTCATATCCCACCGGTTAGCTTTAACACACTGCAGCAGTTCTTACAGAATTTCAGTCTAATTTTTAAAGAAAGAAATGATCATACCTGGACTTAAGGCAGAACTCATTTATTGCTCTGACACCAGTGATGAAGTTATTCTTCATGTATTTTGGTCCATATTCTCTCTTTTTAAGTACAGCTTTCACTTTAAGAGGGAGGAAAAGGGCGAGACTCAGTTACGAGCGCCACCAAAGGACCTCTCTACCGCAGAGAAGCCAGTATGCATGAAAATATACAGGTGTTCACCTATTCGTCTCACCTCAATTGAAATCTGGTAACAGGACACCCAAACATGACAAAATCATTGCAGAAACAAAGCAAGAGGCAAGCTCAAGAAGTGAATGGCAAGCTGGATACATACACATAGTAACTGGAGATGTGGGAATTATAGATAATTACCCATTAAAGCAGCAGCTTATAGTGCAAACATTACATCATTTATAAAACAGACTTATTTGAGAATATTTCACTCTATGAATGCACTACATGATCTGATCACGTAGAGTAAAACAATGGGAGGTATTCCATCCAAGGTTAATGGACATGATAAACCTAGGTTTACTGATTTCAATGGGCCTACTCTGTTTAGAAAGGAAGTATTTTGGAACAAGGAGGTCCCCACAGCAATGTCTCAAGGGGACTGCTCTTCCTCACTGCCCAATGGTCTTGCAGCTCTGGCTTCTCCCGCCTCCATCGCCTGCTCAGCCAATCACACTGTTCTCAGAGTAATACTTAGTTGACTACAACCCAATGACTCTAGATGCTGGCATTGAGAGCGGTTGATCGAAACAGGTGTCTGTCTTCAGCAACTGCTCCATGGAGGCTACAGAAACCTCTATACACCCACACACACACCCAGTGCAAAGCTATGTCATAATAATTACCTTTCACTTGAATCGGAGTTTGCGGCAAAGGTGGCGTTGGACTGCTAGCTGTTAAAAAACAATTAATTATTAGTCGGAGTTAATCCTACTGCTTTCCAAGACAAAGACAAAAAGCCATGGGGAGTGTACAATTTGAAATTGCCACTGTTGCTTAAAGGGAAAAATAATAATACATGTGTTAGCCCACTGCTTAAATTTGGCCTTTTGCGACATTTGATATTTTTTTAAAATAATTTTTATTGAATGATTTTATGTTACAAAAAAAAAATACAACCATACTACCACTAAATATAGTTAAGAAATAAAAATTACATACATCAATATTTAGTTTGTTATTTGTTATTTGCCGTCTTATTTCCTCCCAAACGTTTCATACAAAAACACACATATGTGCAGACACCCCACACACCCGCACACAAAATGATAATAATGAAAGTAAATATTTTCCCCCTTTTATCTTCCAAAATCTTTTCTTTATGGTGGAGACGGCTCAATTGACAGGGAAACTCAAAGCAAAAATTTGCGGGTGAAATGGGATGGTTATGGAAGATATGTTCAAAAATACAATGATAGTTTTGACTCCGCGCTAGCATTCGAGTGATAAAGGAACTGAAAGGAGGTGGATAACAATTAAGGATTTATTATGTTTTCAGAATGTATTGGAAAATTTATATAGAAAGGTTTATTGTTTTGTGTGCATTCGATTGCAAGATAAAATATATGCAAAGGGACTCAACAGGAAGTCAAAGTTGTTGCTTTTGCGACATTTGAAACAATTTAAAGCAGACACCTAACTTCTGGTTTTCAAAAAGTGTTATAATAATATAATAATATTATAATAATAAATTTATTATTTATACCCCGCCCATCTGGCTGGGCTTCCCCAGCCACTCTGGGCGGCTTCCAAAAAAATACTGTAATACATCAAACATTAAAAGCTTTCCTAAACAGGGCTGCCTTCAGATGTCTTCTAAAAGTCTGGTAGTTGTTTTTCTCTTTGACATCTGGTGGGAGGGCGTTCCACAGGGAGGGCGCCACCACCGAGAAGGCCCTCTGCCTGGTTCCCTATAACCTCACTTCTCGCAATGAGGGAACCGCCAGAAGGGCCTCGGAGCTGGATCTCAGTGTAGAACGATGGAGGTGGAGATGCTCCTTCAGATATACTGGACCGAGGCCATTTAGGGCTTTAAAGGCCAGCACCAACACTTTGAATTGTGCTCGGAAACGTACTGGGAGCCAATGTAGGTCTTTCAAGACCGGTGTTATATGGTGTTATAAATCCAAGCACATTTAAGCTAAAGATTTTATTTAGAAGGATTTACATCCTGCCTTCCCTACAAGGCGTTCAAAGCAGTGTGCATGGTTTCCCCCACCTCCATTTAATCTCACAACAGCCCTGTGAGGTGGGTGAGGCCGAGAGAGAGCCATAGGTGTTCCCCACTAGGAACAGAATCTGCCATGCCTGCAGATGGTCCCGTGCACATCTCTGTCTTAATTAAGTATATCAACGGAATTAAGTTCTTATGACTTCAATAACAACAGCCAATATACTGCAGCTTTATTCTCTGGCGTTTGGATGCTCGCCAGACTTCCGCTACCAGTAAAAGAGAAGCTAATTTTACTGAAACTGAAGACATTAGGATTAGCCTTCCGAACCTGACAACGCTACAAAGGGAGCTGTGTTTTATTAAGAGAAGGCTTGGCAAGTGGCTTGAATTATTCAAAAGTTAAGTATTATTAAAGCACTCTTGGTCTATGCAACTTTTTTTTTTAAGAATCAAACAATTAGTTCCTCTTGCCTTAATTTACAAAAGGGGGGGGGCAGGGATAAAGTAAATTGCTTCCTTAAGAGAAGGAAACCCTGGATAATGGCTTTCCATTTATAATGTATACGGAGAAGGCCTAGTGAATACACAGCAGCAACTTCTTTTTTGATACACTTAAAAACAGACTCCAGCAAAAGCTGTTTCAAAGTTACGCCTGTCTGCCCCCTTCCTCCTTATCTTCAGAGCCCTGGGCTGGCAGGCTGTGTTTATACTGATATACCTTGGCAAGGTCACAGTTTCTCCAAGGTTTGCCGAAAGTCGCTGCCTGTAGCAATGATTCCTCTTTTCCTTTCCCCTCCCGTCGCCCGTTGTAAAATGGACACACAGTGACATTATTTAATAAAAAGGTTAAGCCATAAACTTTGATCAGGGGAAAATAATCACATCTCAAATGTCAAGATTTACTACTGAAGATTCAGGCAGCGTTATGTGCCCTTTAAATATATATATATATACTGGGTAACAGTGGCCAGGAGGCCTGACGAAAACACGGTGCTTGGAATTAAGCAGAAACTGACCTATTCCCTGTTCTGTGGGTCAAGATGATACTGTTTAAAGCCTTGAGCAAATTATTCTGTAGAATATGGATATACCATGGCGGGGGCTAGGAGGACAAGCCATAGTTCAGGGGTGGTATTATTATTAAATTTATGAATCAGGCTTCCTACAAAGCCTCTCAAATGACTTCGCAATACAATAGAGACATACAGTGGTACCTCGGGTTAAGTACTTAATTCGTTCCGGAGGTCCTTTCTTAACCTGAAACTGTTCTTAACCTGAAGCACCACTTTAGCTAATGGGGCCTCCTGCTGCCGCCGCACCGCCGGAGCACGATTTCTGTTCTCATCCTGAAGCAAAGTTCTTAACCCAAGGTACTATTTCTGGGTTAGCGGAGTCTGTAACCCGAAGCGTATGTAACCTGAAGCGTATGTAACCCGATGTACTACTGTATATAAAATAAATGCATATATAAAATCAATTTCAACGACAAACCCGCTGAGATGCCGTGGGCCACCTGAATGAAGCTTGTGGCCGACAGGTCAGAGTTTGGGGAGCTCTGCTCTACAACACACTCAGCTCTTCCTTGAAGTTACACACTGAAGGGGAAAGTTGGGAAACATGGGGAAGTTGGGATTCATGCCCAAGACTCCTGATCTTCTCCTCTCCTTGAGGAATTCTGAACAGCTTTAGAGCAGGGATGGGGGAACTGGTGCCAGAGAGAGGCTGCTGGACTCCCATCAGCCCACAGTTGGTGTGGGAACTGGGGCTGATGAGAACTGGGAGTCCAACAGCTGGAGCTGGGCGATATATTGGCAAATTGCCCGAAACTGGTAGGGGGTTCGGATCACGATACCAGTTTCGGACAAGGCATTACGCCAGCTTGAATTGCCTGTAGATGGCAATGGCACAGGCAAGCAGGCAGAGCCTGAGAAGGTTCTAGGTGAGGACCTTCTTGGAATCTGTCTGCTTGCTTGCCTGCCTGCATCTTTGAGGAAGCCCCCTGCCCCCCCCCAAGCTCATGCAAGCCAGAGAGATATGGGGGCCTGCTCAGCTGAGGGGCAGGAGGCGTCCCACCCTCCAGCCAAGCTGTTTAACAAAGCCCCAATGCCTCTGCGGCTCATGTGAGCCAGAGAGGCGTTGGGGCTTGGACTGCTGCTTCTTCCTCCAAGGGGGCAAGGAAAAAACAGCCAAGATACATTCTAGACATCATGCTAAATCAGCATATTGCGGTATTCATCTGACTTTTAGAAGACACCTGAAGGCAGCCCTGTTTAGGGAAGTTTTTAATGTTTGATGTTTTATCGTGTTTTTACTATTCTGCTGGGAGCCGCCCAGAGTGGCTGGGGAAACCCAGCCAGATGGGCGGGTATAATAATCATCATCATCAACATCATCTGCTGATATAACACAATGTTGAAAACCAGATATTGCCCACCTCTACCAACTGTTAGAATTCCTGCTCCATGATTGCAGTCATGGGATTGTTGTCTTTCACATGATGGTATATGTGTTGACTCCACAGAGTGGGAAGCGACGGAGACAGGATGTTTGTGTTAATGTCTTCCGTGAAGTGGGACTATTGCCCTTTGTTCTTTTTTCTCTTTGCTGTCTGATGCTAGAGAGAGAGGGAGCCATGTTGCAGTGCTGTGTGTGTGTTTATATGTAAATTAAGTATATTAGCCAAAATGCTGAATTGCTGAGGTCTGTCACGCATGTTCCGCAAACTCTGCGGATCCCTAAGTGTGCCGATGTCAGTTGGCATCGGTCGCTGTTATGTTTGGGCTGAAGAAAGCTCCTGAACAATCGTCCAGGAGGGAGGGAACATGCCAGTCAAGTGTAGGCTGAACTCTTGACACCAACAACATCGGGGGCCATAGGTTGTCAATTCCTGCTTCAGACCTGTCTTTTATTTACGCTTGTTTATTTCTCTTCTGTTTCTATGGCACTTTGAGTCATTTTTATGGGAAGCAACTAATAAATACTACTACAAATAGAACTGTGTGTTTCCGTGGATCGCATCTCAACTAGTCTTTTATTTGTGTTTGTGTCCATCGAGTGTACATAAAGAAGGGCCTCAGATGACGATCGTAGGGTCCAGGTCAGTTCATGCTGAAGAATCTTGGCACACTGCAGAAGACTCTGGGACATGTTCTAAAGCAGCCTTCTCCAACTTGGTATTCTCTAGGTCTTTTGGATTATAGCTGTCCTGGCTAGGACGGAGGAGAAGGGTAGCCCAACAATTGTTGCTGGACCTTGGAAACAAGAGTACAGCCAAGATGTTGCAGCCCAACCACTTCTGGGGACTCAAGCTTGAAGAACACTGCTCCGGAGGGTGCGCCCAATTTATGTGGGAATTAGGCAAGAGCTCCTTATAGAAGCCATTTCCTTAATCTGCCGCTTTACCTTCAGAAACAGCTGCCTTGCAAGAACTAATTTAAACCAGGGCCAGAAAAACCCCGAAACCAACAGGCTTTAATTCCAAGCAAGCACATTTAGAATCTGAACATTTAGAATAATGGGGGATTCTGGAACACCCATTTCAAGCCAATCGACAACATAACAATACTTAAGCAGCAGCTTTAGAAGCTTTTGTTCTCACTTGGCAATCATCTTCACATCAAGCTGTGGTTCAGCAACAGACCGTGGCTTAAATGCCTCGTGGAATCATTTGAATTAATCGCACACATACAGCAGATGTGCGAGGTTATTACAAACTGTCTCTACAGTCATTAGGTTATTTTGATCTGGGTTTTTTAAGACACTCGGAAATATAACCAGAAATATTGCCAATGCATGCACAAATTAATTAGAGGTACACACAGAAGGGGGGGGAAATGCTTTGGAACACTTTGGTAATTCAGACAGGATGTCAACTCACCCCAAACCTCTTTGGGAACAACCACTCTCCAAGATTTACTTCAGTAAGGTGCAGTAAACAGGCTGCTTTGAAGCGAGATTCATCCCTCGCAAATTTACGCAAAGCCCACACCCCCAATTAAAATCTACAAACCATTAAAATAGCCCTTAGTACACTATCCCACAGGAGAATTAAAGGTTGAAACCAATGCAAGCTCAGGGCTGAAAGCTGGCAACTCTGCTAATTTCTGGAAGAAGAAATGTTAAGCCAAGATGGTGCCTACCTGTTGCTGTTTTCTGCGCACTGCCTTCAGCAGCTGAGGAGCTTGCATCTTGTGCCCCAGTGTGGTCCTTCTGGCCATCGGAGGTATAAACTCTTACTTGGCTTGAATGAACCGGCAGACGACTCCCTGGCAGCACAGGCAAGAGACTGCCAAATTTAAGGGGAACTTGCCACCCTGAAGGAAATGGGAAAGAAAACAGCTTGGGTACTTTGAGATGGCAACAACAGCACCAAGAAAAAAGCACAGAGAACAGCCAGATAATGGTTTGCAAACTGTTCAGGACACATAACTCAAATATTCCGCTGAAAAACTAAAATATTCCTCAAGTAGATCCCTTAGACTGGCATTCAACTAAGTTTTAGAACATCCACTGAAATTACTGGACATGACTCAGTCAGGTCCACTATTTTCAATAGGTCTACTCTGAGTAAGACTCAGCTGAACACCAACCATAGAACATAAAATTCCATACAACATAGATTCCTTTATTATACTCTTACTAAGAGGCTGCTTTGAGATTAGCTGCTGCCACAGTAAGCCCTGCTGGAAGGAATTATAGGTTTGTAAATAGCCACTTGACAAGTAAGATGTACCTGTAGACAAACAGGATCAGATGTTTTTAATTAGCTGAAATAAGGTTGGTCCTTTTATCGTCCAGGCCGCTGATGAGCCTCCAATGCCTAGCATTGGTATGAGTTGCCCAGGCAGGCTAGTACAAATTGATGTGCACTAATAATGTCTTTGGACTTCCTTGCAAGGCTGGGGTATTGTCATGAACTTAAGGGGAATATAGCAACATGAGGTTAATTGGGATGCTGGATTTGACTCAAAGCAGCTGGACTGCCTACGCAAAATTTCAAGACTTCATGGCAAAACAGAGCAGTCAAGTGACCCTTCTATATATCGTTCTTGACAGAAATTTAGAACTTGAAATAAGAACACCGCCAGGACCCTAGCAAATGACTGCTAAAAGCCAGGCCTTTGGTTGATCCGATTGACATCCTATGCCTTTTTTAAAATGTGGCTCTTTTTTGGGGGGGGGGGTATTTGGTTGTTGTTTTTATTTTGATTATATATATTGTGGGTTTTATGTTGATCTTTTCTGTGAACTGCCCTGAGACCTCCAGGTATAAGGCGATAGATAAATTCTAACAACAACAACAACAAAAGCAAGGAAGCTCATGAAGGACCAGAAAGCAATTATATACATGACACAATGTAAGCCATAGGAATGTGGCCCAAAAATAGGGTAAAGGGAAATATTAGCAACTACAGTAGTATAAGTATTAGGCTGTTCAGGAATGCAAGCTAACTGAGATGCAACAGTGAAAGCAGTATTATACCAAGTCAGAGCAGTGGTCCAACTAGCTCAATATCATCTAGACCAGCCTTTCTCAACCTGTGGGTCCCCAGATGTTGTTGAACTACAACTCCCATCACCCCTAGCTAGCAAGGCCAGAGCTCAGGGATGATGGGAGTTGTAGTCCAACAACATCTGGGGACCCACAGGTTGAGAACCGCTGACTAGACTGACTGGCAATGGCTCTCCAAGGTTTCAGGCAGGGGTCTCTCTCAGCCCAACCTGGAGATGCTGGGGATAATTATTATTATTATTATTATTATTATTATTATTATTATTAATACCCCACCCACCCGGGACCTTCCACATGCAAATCAGATGCTATAACTGGGCTATGGCCTTCCCCAAATATAACATTAAATTTTGAAACTCAGCTATATTTAGAGGGCACTGGGCCACAGGGTCTCAGAAATAGCAAGGCAAGGCCATTTACTCAGATGCCCAGGGCAAAATGCAAGACACCTGAGGCACCCACATCCACATGCAAAAGCCCCTAATAGGGAGCACTGGCCAATGCGTCAGGAGGAATAGCTAGGGGGCTGGTCCCCAGCATCAGCTGCCCGGGGTGAATGCAACAATGGGGACAGCCCTGTCTATGTGGGGATGCTACCTGCCCATACTTCTAAATTGGGATTATAAACTGCTGTCGAAACTCAACCTCAGGGATAAGTAGCTACCACCTCTAAACACACACACACATTTACCTATTTATTTATATTAGAATTTGTATTCTTTTCCCCTTCTGGTTCTTACATACCTATCATGGTAGCTAGCAATAATTATAAGCAACCATAATGCACAGTTATTGTTTGTTTTGTTTTTAAAGAAAAGCAAAAGTCCTGGACAAAAATGTATGCATCCAATAAAAGAAACACTATAGATGGAACACAGAGAAGGGCCTCTCTGTCAGACCGTAGGGTACAGGCAGGCTGGCATGCAAGTTTCCCAAGCCACTCAGGGCTTTGAAACATCATCGCCAATGCTTTTAATTGTGCCCCAAAACAAACAGGTAGAAGAAACAGATTGCTTGTGTACTGTGTACTAAATATGAACCTGGCAAGTTACTATAGCTATTGATTCTTCTTTTATTTACATGAAAACCAATAAAAAATATTTGGACCAAAGAAAAAGATATCAGGGTTCTAGCTTGCTAACAAGCCATGCTCACTGTTTGCTACCCTTTTACTCCCAAGGGCACATATGTAGCTGCAGTTACTCAATGAGGTTAAATAGGTCCATACTGAGAGGGGCTTCCACGTCAATTATAGGTTGAATTTTGGGCCTAGTGAATTTTCGGGCTTGACAGACCTGCTGAATCTGAACTCAAATTGAACCCGCTGGAAAAATGTAAAGTGATATGCCATGATGGGTGCAGAGCAATCTCAAGCAGCTGAGAGTAGGGTAACAACAGTGGATCAGACTAGCGAAACAGATGTAACAGATGTAGGGAAACAGAAACACTGATTTATTGCAACCTAATAGTAGAACTAGGGACGCGGGTGGCGCTGTGGGTTAAACCACAGAGCCTAGGACTTGCCGATCAGAAGGTCGGCGGTTCAAATCCCCGCAATGGGGTGAGCTCCCATTGCTTGGTCCCTGCTCCTGCCAACCTAGCAGTTCGAAAACACATCAAAGTGCAAGTAAATAAATAGGACCCTGGGGAAGGTAAACGGCGTTTCCATGCACTGCTCTGGTTTGCCAGAAGCGACTTAGTCATGCTGGCCACATGACCCGGAAGCTGTACGCCGGCTCCCTCGGCCAATAAAGCGAGATGAGTGCCGCAACCCCAGAGTCAGCCACAACTGGACCTAATGGTCAGGGGTCCCTTTACCTTTAATAGTAGAACTCTCCTGCCAACCTAGCAGTTCAAAAGCACGTCAAAGTGAAAGTAAATAGGTACCGTTCCGGCGGGAAGGTAAACGGTGTTTCCGTGCGCTGCTCTGGTTCGCCAGAAGCGGCTTAGTCATGCTGGCCACATGACCCAGAAGCTGGACGCCGGCTCCCTCAGCCAATAAAGCGAGATGAGCGCCGCAACCCCAGAGTCGGTCACGACTGGACCTAATGGTCAGGGGTCCCCTTTACCCCTTTATAGTTTAACAGCCTTACATACAAAGTCAGCCCCCACATTCCTTCGCACCCTTGCATGCTCAAGAAAGTGAATCCAGGATGCAGCTGCACAGATGAAGCAGGACTAGGCAGGCAGGAGCAGAATCCACCCACTATGGCTGGAGTGACCAAGCAGGGGGTGCAGGTTCAGCCCCCTACAATCATAGAAGGGACCCCCGAGGGTCATCTACACCAGTGTTTCCCAACCTTTTTTGGGCAAAGGCACACTTGTTTCATGAAAAAAATCTCGAGGCACACCACCATGCCAGATGGGGAAAGGTCACTTTTTACTTATGTAAAAAAAAATAAAAAAATAGTAACAGCATAGAAGGTAATGGTTAGGCTAGCATCCCTCTTCCAAATATGCTAGGTTTTTATTTGCAGGGACTGTTCTACATGGGAAAGCATTCAGCACTGTCATTCTCCCATCTGCCATCTGAATTGGTACTATTCTGGGTCAACTTACTCTGCTGCATGTGTAGATGAAAATGGCACCAAGTGTGGGGGAGGGGGCAGAACAGGTTTCAGATACAGGATATTAAGCATACACGTACTTCAGATTGAACTGGTTGCTTGCTTTGCAAGTTTTCATTTCCCAAATGACTGCCTTGGCAAGCGCAATACCTACCAGGCTCAACGCCGGTCTCGCGCTGCCGCTTCCCGCGCTCTCAAGGACCCGGGAGGAGGAAGGCGTGAAGGGAATCCCGAAGGCGCGAAAACCTCGCGCATGCGCAGGCCTTCCGCCTGCGACAGCCCAGTAGGCCGGCCGAAGCGAGCGGCGATGGGATGTGGGAGGGAGCTCGCTCGCCGCCCCGCGTGTGCCTATGTGGGGCACGTTACAGCCCCGTGACGTCAGCGCCACGCAGGCAGCCAGGCAGGCAGACGGCGAGAGCCCCGCGCTGGGCGGCCTCTCCTCGCCGCCGCCGCCCCGCCTCTCGCCGCCCGACTCGCCCGCCTCCCTCCAGGCAACATCTCGCGGCACACCAGGCAACGTCTCGCGGCACACTAGTGTGCCGCGGAACACCGGTTGGGAAACACTGATCTACACCAACTCCCTGCAATGCAAGGGGTTCACCACTTCACTATCCTATGTGAAAGTAAAAGGCTGCTATCCACCAGTGGAAAGCACTGCACATGGGGAGAAGCACTGTGTCACAGTCCTCTCTGCCTCCAGCCAAAACACTGGGTGGCCTGGTCCTTTGCTGACAGCGACCCCAAAAGTCCTCCCTCTGCCCACCCCACCTTCTGCACCTTGTTAGTGAGCGACAATGATGCTATATCCCCCTCACACAAAAAATACATTTAAACCACTTCATATAACTTAAGCTCAGTAATAAAATACATTTAAACCACTTCATATAACTTAAGCTCAGTAATCATCACAACGACCCTGCATGGTAGATCTGCACTGCTCACAGCGTTAACAGATTCAGGACTGGCAGTGCTGATAACAACAACATGCCACCATTGCAGCCTGTTAAATGCTGAGGGCAGCCAACAAGCCCCAGGACCATAGCTGTCAACGTTTCCCTTTTTAAAGGGAAATTCCCTTATTCCGAATAGGATTCCTCGCAAGAAAAGGGAAAAGTTGACAGCTATGCCCAGGACATGAGCAGCTGGTGTAGGCTCTTTCTCTCTCTCCACACACACACACACACCCCAGGGGGTTGGGCTAGATGACCCTGGGGGTCCATTCCAATTCTATGTGGTACCTCAAACAGACTTTTTAAAAACGGCTATCGCAGCCCTGGAGCAGCAGCCTAAAAACCCAGGGTCGTGGGTTCGAGTCCCACACTGGGCAAAAATTCCTAAGTTGAAGGGGGCTGGACTAGATGACCCTGGGAGTCAGTTCCAATTCTATGTGGCACCTCAAACAGACTTTTTAAAAACGGCTATCGCGGCCCTGGAGCAGCAGCGTCTTCATCCCAGGGTCGTGGGTTCGAGTCCCGCGTTGGGCAGAAGAACCTGCGTTTTAAAGGGGACTGGAATGGATGACCCTCGGGGTCCCTCGCAACCCTTCGAGCCTACTCACCGCGGCAGCCTGCCCGGGCGAGCGGTCCCCCCGCCTGGCCTCGGCCCCTCCGCCGCAGCAGGTGGAGCTGGTAGAAGCAGCCCCAGCCCCTCCGCTGGGCGGCCAGGGCCGGCAGCATCCTCCGCGGGGTCCTCCTCCTCCTCCGGGCGCAGCGAGAGGCGCGAGGCGACAGGAAAGAGCGGCCGCGCAGAGCTCCTCATTCACGCGCCCGGCCCCCGCCGGACACCGGCTCCGGAGCCGACTCCATCGGCCCAGGCTATGAGCGGCAGGATCCGGATGCGGAACAGGGCCGCTCTGTAGCCTCGTCGCGCGCCTCTATGGTCCGTCCTCCGCCGACGGGCAACAGGACGCATGCGCTGCGGGGTAAAGAGGAGAAGCGGAAGGGGGGGAATCAAAAGATCCACCGCGCACGCGCAACCTCCACGTGGGGAAAGGGGGGCAGGAGGAGGGAGGGAGTCCCCGCCCTGCGCTGCAGTGAACGTGGGAACGTGTTCGGGGCGGTGTGGAACAGGGCGGCCCATTCTTCCTCTTCTATTGCAATTAGCTGTATGTTTTGAATAGATTGTGTGTGTGTTTATTTCCTAAAATTTATACACCGCTTGTGTAAAAAACAAGAGGCTTACGAAACATAAAGCAGTAAATCAAGAAAAAATTATAATCCTACTTTAGAACAAAAAAGTTAAAATACTAAAAGAGATTCAAATTACTTCTGCATATATTTTTTACATTATTGAGGTTTTTTTCATAAAATGTATACACCGCTTGATTGTGTAAAAAACAAGAAGCTTACAAAACATAAAGCAGTAAATCAAGAAAAAATTATAATCCTACTGTTTTAAAGTTAAAATACTAAAAGAGATTCAAATTACTTCTACATATATTTTACATTATTGGGTTTTTTTAATTAATTATTGGGGTGTTTGATGTGTTAGCAGAGGGGTAATACCTCTGGAGGGGGAGAGATCATGTTCCTTCTGGGGTAAATTCTGCACCTTTGGTTCCCACCCTGCACTCTGCTCTCACCTGTGGCTCCTAGAAGCTGTCAGTATGCAACTGCAGCCACCACCCCACCAGGAATGGCCTTGGCCAGCAAAAGTAGGTGAGGGTAGCCTATGGGTCTCAGACCCTCTGTAAGTTAGGGACTTTCCCTGCATGCGAAGACAGGTTCCAGCAGATTGAGCAGAGAAGACCAATGGTCTGCCCATTTATTGGAGGGAATAAGAGGCAGCTGGGGCTTGTCAATCTGAGGAGAAGGAAACCTCTGACCCTAAACATTTAGAAAAATGTTTTATTATGTTTTTACATATGTTGGAAGCTGCCCAGAGTGACTGAGGCAACGCAGTAAGATGTGTGGGGTATAAATAGTAAAATTATCCTTTAAAGGATTGAGGTATATAAGTTAAAAGTTGATATATAAATTGAATTAAATATAATAACAAATTAAGGTTAAAAATATAATATAATAAATATAATAACAAATTAAGGTTAAGAATTTAGGGATAAGAACTTGGTGGATAAATATTTGGACATGGAATACAAGAAGGGGAGGTGAGGGGAAGTCGCGGAAAAAAAGTTATTGAAAATGGGATTGTAAAGAATGAATTCTTTTTTATTCTTTTTTTCTTGTTCTTTTTCTTTTTGTTTTTACTATTACTTGAAACTCTAATAAAATATTATTTTAAAAAAAATAGTAAAATTATCATTATGGAATAGGATGTCCCTTTTTTCATTGGGACGCCTGCTTCTTGGGAGAAAAGCAATGACAAACCTAGACAGCATCTTAAAAAGCAGAGACATCACCTTGCCAACAGAGGTCCGTATAGTTAAAGCTATGGTTTTCCCAGTAGTGATGTATGGAAGTGAGAGCTGGACCATAAAGAAGGCTGATTGCCGAAGAATTGATGCTTTTGAATTATGGTGCTGGAGGAGACTCTTGAGAGTCCCATGGACTGCAAGAAGATCAAACCTCTCCATTCTTAAGGAAATCAGCCCTGAGTGCTCACTAGAAGGACAGATCATGAAGCTGAGGCTCCAATACTTTGGCCACCTCATGAGAAGAGAAGACTCCCTGGAAAAGACCCTGATGTTGGGAAAGATGGAGGGCACAAGGAGAAGGAGACAACAGAGGGCGAGATGGTTGGACAGTGTTCTCGAAGCTACCAACATGAGTTTGACCAAACTGCGGGAGGCAGTGGAAGACAGGAGTGCCTGGTGTGCTCTGGTCCATGAGGTCACGAAGAGTCGGACACGACTAAACGACAACATTTTCATTGGAGAAATGTTGGAGGGTATGTAGGACACATGATACTGCTTTCACACTATGGTTGTAAAGGGTAAGTATTTTAAGAGGAGGTATCAGCAGGTTTGATAATAATATTTTGTTTGGTTTTTTTATAATAATTTTAAAGGTATCAGCAGGTTTGGGGGAGCCCCAAGGTTTCCAGAAGCACACACATACACACAAATATGGAGAAAAATCCCTAAAGTGGGAGACCGGGCAAATCAACACAATGAACATGCTCAATGGGATTGTAGTACTGACTGTCAAAGCAGGAGGAGTGTGGGATGGAGGAATGGGATGGAGTGGAGTAGCTGAAATCCTGAACAGCCGCAGGATTGTTCTGCTCCTACTTGAAATACAGTGGTACTGTTCTTAACCTGAAGCACTTTAGTTAATGGGGCCTCCTGCTGCCGCCACGCTACCAGAGCACGATTTCTGTTCTCATCCTGAAGCAAAGTTCTTAACCTGAAGCACTATTTCTGGGTTAGCGGAGTCTGTAACCTGAAGCGTATGTAACCTGAAGCGTATGTAACCTGAGGTACCACTGTAACATGAATACCTGCAGTGCTATAAACCAGCCATTGTGATTCTGATAATTCCTTAACTAGCCTATTCAAAATATAATAGGGTCACTGTGGCAATTTGCAAAATCCTTAATAAATTCAGACTGGGTGCACCTAAGTTGCTCCTTACGGAGTTTCACTTCCTTTTCCCCATGGTATCCCCATGGGATACCAAATTCCTATTCAGAAAGGGGCAGGTAGGAGAAAAGTGCTCATCCATGCCCTCCAAACACAGCTGTTTTTCGCTTAGTTGGGATTATGGATGATAGTAGTTAGAAGGGACCCCAAGAGTCATCTAGTTCAACCAACTGCAATGCAAGAATCTCAACAGATGGCCCCCCATCCAATTGGAAACCATACTAGACCCTGCTTAGCTTTGCAAATGTGTTAGCAGTTTTATTTCTGCACCACTAGGGAGAAAAACAATTGAGGAGGCACAGTTGGGGGGGTGAGGAGAGACAGGGGAATGCACAGGCAAACAAAAGGTTAAGCGCCTCTGTCCTTCCAACTCCTAATACATTTCATATAATTCACCATTCATTGAATAGGGATTCTCCGGCAACCCGGTTCTTATGCCATTGTCTGCCAACATTGGATCCAAGTGTGCCACACACCCTGCTCTGTGAAAATGCTTCAGGGCTGTTTCGTAACTTAATTATTTCAAAGTGCTTTCCACGGACAGATAATCCTCAATAATGTTACCGATTCAAAGGTCGAAGGAGAAAAACAGTCCTTTGCAATATGACTAGGGAAAGCAGAGATACATGTGATAATGTACCACCAGAGGGCAGCATTTGGGAGAAGAAGAGAATGATTTAGTTTTCTCAAAACATGCAGCCCCTACTCTAAATGAAGCGTTGCTTAGAATTGCAGGTAGGGTAGCCATTTAGGCATTGCCAAAAAAAGAGGAGATGCAACCTCAAAACAGTAGGGCAAAAGAAGACACAGATTTGCAATGAGGAGGAGGAGGTGTGAGTATGGATGCAAATTTAGAAATAATCAGCTATGATTTAAATAGAAATACATTTCACTATAGTAGGGAAGATTGTGACCTAGACGGCAGACTGCGCTGTCCAGATCTTTAAGACAAACATATTTCTCAGTCTCGGTCTCCATCTCGGTCTCTGTCTGACTTGGACTGGGCAGCCCTTCAAAAGAAAAGTCCTCTTACAGCACTCCAATTAGAGCATTGTCCGGGGGGGGGGGGGGAGACATATACCACCCCCACAAAAAAATACAGGTTTCTGAGAAAGCATTACCTAAAACAGGGGTGCCCAAACCTTTTTCAAAGAGGGCCAGATTTGATGAAGTGAACATGTGTGAGGGCCGTCCAAAGTTGTTGAGCTTTTTTTTACAATTTTACTCCAAGACATGTACTGCCACGGGGGCCAAATTGGGCCCCCAAATTGAACTTTGGACATGCCTGACCTAAAACAAGCTTGTTCCTTGGCTCAATTGTCACCAGATACAGGTGGCATTTCAGCAGAGGCTGACTTCCATCCAAGGTAGTTAATTGCAGCAATGCTGCAACATCAAACCACATAAGGGACCTAACTATGTCCCTTCTTCAAATATATAGAATAATATTTAAAAAGGTAAAGGTACCCCTGCCCGTACGGGCCAGTCTTGACAGACTCTAGGGTTGTGCGCCCATCTCACTTAAGAGGCCGGGGGCCAGCGCTGTCCGGAGACACTTCCGGGTCACATGGCCAGCGTGACAAAGCCGCATCTGGCGAGCCAGCGCAGCACATGGAAACGCCGTTTACCTTCCCGCCAGTAAGCGGTCCCTATTTATCTACTTGCCCCCGGGGGTGCTTTCAAACTGCTAGGTTGGCAGGCGCTGGGACCGAGCAACGGGAGCGCACCCCGCCGCGGGGATTCGAACCGCCGACCTTTCGATCGGCAAGCCCTAGGCGCTGAGGCTTTTACCCACAGCGCCACCCGCGTCCGTAGAATAATATTTACCCAGGCGTAAACAAAACTCTGAGCAGACACAGAGTTCCTTTCCCCACCACCACTTCCACTTGTATTGTAATTAAGGTGCAGGCCTAAGCCATGACACCTTTTCGGCAATTAAGCACAACTTTGGCAATTAAGCACAACTCCCAGCTTCTTGAAAGCATTCTAGCAGCACCATCCAAGAATGTTTGTTAATATTTAGAGTGCTTAGCAGCATTCTCCTGCCGCCACTAAACCTTAGGCCAGTACTTTGTACCTGACCACATCCCCTCATTTCCACCACCTCTGTAGAGATAATGGGAAATGCAGAGGCGGCTTGTTTGGAGGAGAATGTGCCAAAGCTCACTGAATTGTGTCCAGAATGTAGTAAGAAGGCATTTCAGGATATGTGTATCAGTGTACATCAGTACACTTACATCAGCTGTGAAGCTAGTATTATGCCCTTATCCTGATTCACTGTCCTTTTACTTCCCACTTCTACAAGGCTGTTCCAAAAAACCATCACAATGATTCCCGCGTCTTGCATCATCCAAGCAGCAAAGGGAAACCAAGCTCTAATAACAGATGCTCCTTTGCAATCTAAACTGGTGTGACTATGACTGCTTACAATTTGGGGGTGAGGAGCGTATGGGGGAACACAATTTGATTTTGACAACATCAATAAAACCAGAGATGTGACAACATAGGAGGGTGCAATTTAATTTGCGTTGAAATAAATATTAGGCATACAGAGCGTCGTGAATGAAAGAGGGTCACAATAAATTACGAGCGGAGACATTTTGCACAATCATTGCAGAAAGCCCTTGGTATTTCCAATTTCAGGCCATCGAATTTATCATTTTTGCTGATTTAAGCAGAACTCCAAATAAATATGGATCTCGGCGCTTACTTTCACAGGTACTGGCATGGATAATTTACGGTTGTGATCCAATTTGTAAATCAGCAGGGGCCACTAAATTGCAGCATAAAAAAGAAAGAGCAAATGAGGTCCTTTTTCCTTTGTGTCAGCAGGCTGCGATGATTATGTTTATTAGATTTCCTTGAAAGGGTTTCACATTTTCTCAAATATCCAGGAGAACTATTTCCCCTCTGAGGCCGGCATTAGCATTTTGTGCCTCAGTCCTCGAAGACAGGGAAAGTGATGAATTTTTCAATTGGTTTTTTGAAATGTATGCTCAGCCCCTGCCAGCCAGGGTACAGCAGCAATCTGCCACCTAAAAATGGTGCCGTTACCAAGGAAGGAGCAGGTCTTCTGCATGGAAATATACGGAATGTACTATGTGAACAGACCGGTATAACTTGATTCAGCTAAGGGCTGTGCACATCTATTCTTAGGTGGGCCCAATCTGACATATGGCGCTGGGCAGGAAGCTAAAATCCTTCTAAAACAGATGCTTGAACTGGATTCAATACCAGTGCAGCCCCTTTCCCTGCCCAATAGCTGACAAAGGACTTTTTTAGCACCCATCTGTTTCCTGCACCAGCTAAGGCCCCACATGCACAGGCCTAGATGATGCTCTGCACATGTTCTCTTGGATCTGGTCCGTAGTATAAACAGAGTCACCCATTTTGCAGTGCTGGCAGGTCAGTCCCCCATAACGAATACCAGAGTTATGAAAAACAGCCAACATGTTCGAGTTACTTGAGAAATTATGCAAATATACTTCATTTGCATATGTTTCAGAGGACCTCACATGTGTTGTTTGGGATGCAAATTTCTACTTTTAGCGGAGAGTATACACAGCTCTGGGCACAGGGTAAGAAGGAAGGTTTTTCATTCTCCAAAGGCCTTTGGCTAAGATTCAATTACCACAAAAAAATTTCTAGGAGCCCAGGGGAGGGGCTATAGAAGATTAGCTCTGCCCCTCAACTGCTGCCCCCCTGCTGCTCAGTACACCTCTTTGAAACTGGAGGGGACTTTTAGAAGCTGTTTGTAACAGACCTGCAAGACCCTTGGCTGGAACCTAAACAGATCTTTGCACCCCAACTTTTATATAGAAGGCTATAAAATTTAGAACACTAATGGAATTGAGTTAGCTGTAAATCCTGATGTTTAAAATCATATTCAGGAACCAGTTGTCTTGATTAAGTAATCGTTCTGGGAGGGGTATAATCCTGAGAGCTCTGAAAAACAGTCTTCCAAGAGATCCAAAGATAGATGATAGATAGATAGATGGATAGATAGATAGATAGATAGATAGATAGATAGATGATAGATAGATAGATGATAGATAGATAGATAGATAGATAGATAGATAGATAGATAGATAGATGATAGATAGATAGATAGATAGATGATTGATAGATAGATAGAGAGATAGATAGATAGATAGATAGATAGATAGATGATTGATAGATAGATAGATAGATAGACGATCGATAGATAGATAGATAGATAGATAGATAGATGATAGATAGATAGATAGATGCTAGATAGATAGATAGATAGATAGACAGATAGATATAGATAGATAGATAGATAGAGAGAGAGAGATAGAGAGATAGAGAGATAGAGAGATAGAGAGATAGATGATAGATAGATATAGATAGATAGATAGATAGATAGATGATAGATAGATAGATAGATAGATAGATAGATAGATAGATAGATAGATGATAGATAGATAGATATGCCATACAAACTCTGACTTTGCAAGCGTGATCACTGAGCATTGTGGGTGAGGACTGGCTGCAGCAGCCCATCGGCAAAGCTATGTTTATTGAGATTCATAAGAATGCAGATGTACATTCCTGAGTGACCAGTTATGTGTGTTTTGTTGCCTGCAGTTGCAGCTGGATTGGGGTGAGGACTCTGTTGTGTTTCTTTTCCTCTAATGGAATTATACTCTAAGCCTCGGGATTCAACATACAACTACAAATAACGTTAAAATAGGTTCAGGCATTTCATTCCAGGCTACCACCACAACAGTCACTTTATTGCTGTAGAAATTTTTATAAAATCCTCAAAGCAAGAGAGCCTAGATGAAAAAACGCATGAAGGATTCCTGCACACTAGTGTGCGCCTTCCCTATAAGTAGATGTTTATGAGCCAAAAAGCTAAAAGGAGTGCCATCAACCAGCCATTTTTAAAGCTGCATTTGTCCATACCCGGAAGTTTAGCAAGCAATGCACAGGGTGGGCTATCGACAAGCTAATGAATGAGTTCAATCTAAATGACATTCACATTTAATCAAAAAGAAATAAGGTAGTTACAAGGAAACATAGTTTTAGAAACAGCGGCAACGTTCCAAATTATTTAAATGTATCATTCGGTTCATGCAGTTGTTAAGACACTAAATCATGAAGTGGCTTAGAAGAATCAATGAGTAAGTATAGTGCCTGGGCAAATTCCTCAATTCTAAAATGCAGGCACTCAATGGAAAAAAAATAACACAGTGCCTTCCATTTAAGGAGAAGATGCACACACACAAACACACAAGTTTACATATCTTCCCAGCGCAAGTTCCCCATCAGATATCATAGAAGACTATGGCTGTAACGTACATACTTCCTGGCCCTTTTTAGGATGCCTAGATCTTACTATCCCTGGCTCAAGGAGGGCTGAACACATTTAAGAGTAAGCCTGGAACACTTAGTGGGGATTTATCTCAAGGAACCACCCAGACCGGGTTGCGCGTTTAGGACATGTGTTCGCTAAACCATCAGCTATCATTATGCAAAACCTCTCCCGAGTATTTCTCAGGAATAGGTTGTATTCTGAGTGGTCCAAGTAATATTACGTGATTCGGACCAAACAGCTCGGCTGGGAAATATCACACAACTGAATACTCCTGCATAGTTAGGAACTGGGAGAGTGGGGGCAGGAGAGCAATGAAAAACAGCAACCTGCCTACACCAACCCCCAACCTCAAGTCCAGGAAGAATTTTAATAAACACCAAGGTGTTTGGTTAGACATAGATGCCTAAATTGATTGCCCTCCACCCCCAAACCCCAACTTTTTCTGGCTCCCCAAAACACACCCACACTCATATTTTTTCTGGGGGGTGACATAAAAAATGAAAACAAAAAAAAAAGTAGTCACAGCACTTAAATTTCTCTGCCCAGACTCTTGGTGGATATGCAAATAACCCTTCCCCAGTTACCATTTCAGAAGCAGAGAGGGGCTAACAGGCCTTTTCTCAGCAGATCTGCAAGGATCAACTGAAAAGGGATGGGCTATGTACCTGTGCAGTGTGTGCAGCTCCAGGTGGGTTGACTACAGGAATGTAACCCTCAGACCAAAAATTTTATAAAGTTGGTCAGCTCTGCTTCAAGAAGAAGAAGGCAAGTTATGTACGTGTGAAGCAACTCAGTTTAAAATGCTCTTCAGTCCTCAGGACATTCAATAACTGGCTTATCATGGGAATCAAAACTATTAGGTTGCTGAATCTGTTAAGTGAACCAGTTTGTGCAATTTTTTCCCTTCTTGCTATGCTGAAATAGCAAATGACCAGTCTTCCAATTACCTCTGCTTTGTAAGACAACAGCCCCACTTCTACTGAAATAAGGCTACAATTACTGGAAGAGCGCTTCTTCTCCAGGGAAGAAGTACTGCAATATTATTTTATTCCTGTGGTGGGAAACTTGCGACCCTCCAGGTCTTAGACTAGCAATCCCATCATCCCTGACCCCTGGCCATGCTGGCTGAGGAAGATGCGAGTTGGAGAGCAACATCATCTGGAGGGCCAGAGTTTCCACACCTCTGCTTTATAAAATAATTCCTCTAGTTTGAGCAGGATGCTTCCCTGTGCAGGCGCAGCACCCACAGAGACAGAAGTCCTATGAGGTCGCAACAGAGCTGTGTTCCTGACCATGTGTACATGAGAAAGTGCTGGGGCAGGAGACACATGCCCACGCCATATTATGGTCCTACACACCTGCAGTTGTGCCCATGCATATAAACTGAAGGTGGAGGAAGAGAGAAGATCCATGCTCATAACTTGAAAGGCAGACCTATGTCATAATGTAATTTACAGCTACTGCCATGTTTAGCATTGCACCATGAGTATGCAATGGTGTTTGGAACTAGCCTAACTGCAAGAACTTTAAAAATTACCTCACAAGGGCAACACTTCCAATGTATATTGAAAATTAATGTAACATCCATCTTTATTATTCAGACGTTTCAAAGACTGGCATTTTAAGAAGCCTGCTTTTTGGAAGACAGGGGGGGAAAATAGGACAGTCAGATGATCTAGAGAAATATTTACTTTACAAAGAAATAAAGTGCTTAGGGAAGGGTGGAGAGCTTTCCATTTCAAAAGCATTAAATAAATCAGAACAATGAAATTTGATGCTTCGTTCTACTGTTCACATTCAAAGTAGGTGCCAATTGATTTGTATTGACCACAATGATTTACTCAATTGACTAAGCCTGTCTCATTTACTGAATGGAAGGAATACTGACTCAAATGTACCGCATGGGTAGAGATTTCAATAGGTACCCCTAAGAGGCTACTAGTTATGTTGCAGCCACAGCTTGCAGCTTGTTAGACACAATCCAGCTAGTATTGCCTGGACATTATTATTATTTTTTGAATAAGTATTTTCATTCAGTATCGAAGAGGACATACATGACAGCACAAAAGCCATATTGTACAAGGCAGGGTTGTCGCCACTGTTTTGCATTGGAAAGTATTCTGTCTAAGATGGCAAGCGTTCATCTTCCACAAAGCACGGAAACATCTTGAAAAACAAGACTTTTTAAACATATAGGATACAATTCACAGAACAGGCTCTTGGAAGAAAACATGTTTCCATACAACCTTGACTGAGATCCAGAATTTATAAATCACCAGCAGAAATACCAGCTGCTTAGAAAGTTCATCAGACAAACATACGCATGTTTCCAGTGTTGACTATGCAACTGTTGGTGCCAGTCTGCTTATAAAAGAAATGCTGCTGACACAGAGCCTTCGTACAAATGCCGGGCACGACGGTTTCATGATGACATGCTCAACGACAATCCGAAGTTCTGTGAAGAGGGTTCTGAAAATAACAAGACACTTTTTACAGAAATATCTTTGCAACAGTAGCTCCTACATCTCACTCAAACCTAAACCTTCATCAAAATCAATAATAACGAGGAGGAGGAGGAGAAGAATAATAATTATAATAGAGTAATAATAATAATAATTACTTATACCCTGCCCATCTGGCTGGGTTTCCCCAGCCACTCTGGGCGGCTTCCAAGAAGAGATTAAAAATACATTAAAACATCAGTCATTAAAAACTTCCCTAAACAGGGCTGCCTTCATTACTAGAGTCATATTACCATAGCCAGAGAGATTCTGAGGTTTGCAGAAGTACAAAAACATTTAAACACACAACATTACGGGACGAAACCATTCCCGTACCAGAGAGGGCATTGTGTAATTTGATTACCAATGTTTCTAAAATTAAGACAACTAATGGGCAACAGAGGATGTCCCTGTTTTGTTCTATGACTAAACATTTGGGGTGGGGAGCAATCTGAATTATTTATTCTAATCTATATCTATATCATCTATATCTATCTATATATGCCTTCGAAAGCTTTTACAATTTTTTTTGGCCAAAATCACATTTCTTAACTATTTCCATTAGATAATTTGGTTCTAGACAATCAAATAGTTTTAAAATATCAAGCGAGAGGCTTGTTAAAGGTTATGATTTTTTCTAATGAAATAAAAATGTTCAATAATTTCCTTATTGGATCAGTAACTCTTCACCCTGGAACAAACCCAGATTGGTCTGTCTGTATACAGCTGCCAATAAATGTTTTTAATCTATTGACCAGATTGGCCGTAAAGATTTTATAATCTAGATTTAATAAAGAGATTGCTTGGTATGATATTGGTGGAGTCCTTGTGAGGTTTGAGAATTAACTATGATTCTTGAATGCTTCCAGGTTGCAGGAAGTAGGTTACCGGCTAAAATATCATTGTATAGCGTGGCCATTTGTGGAAGTGTTTGTTCCTTAAATGTTTTGTAAAAGGATGATGAGAATCCATCAGATCCAGGTGATTTTCCCATCTTTATGTTTTTAATTACTTCCTTTAACTCCTCTTCTTAGTCCATGATATGGCAACACAAAGGAGCCAACTGTTTAAGCACTGTATTTACAGACAACAACAACTTTAAATCATAATTGGTTTCTTACCGGCAATATGGATTTCGGCGGGAGGAATAACGGAGTGTAAGAAATCTGTAGTAAATAAATGGCTGCAGCAAGCTTCCCTGCCCACTGAAAAGAACAGAAGAAAAAAGGTGGGGTGGTGGAGGGGTAGATTTATTTAAAAGGAGACAGTGTAGGATTTGCAGTAAGACACCACCTTATGTTTGTCTTCACACATAGTAACTGCTTTGACCTGCAAAAGACCCTTACAACTAAATAAATGTTTTCACACAGTATCTGACTTGCACACACAGTGATGAATGACAGCCGCGACAGCCGCAGATCATTAAAGAAAATATGTCAAGATGGCTGAAACATTAAAACCTTATAAAGGAACTGGTGTTGCCCCTCCTGCCATGAAATTAAGTAACTTTAGTGTATGTTTACTCAGAAGCAAGTCCACTGTGTTCAGTAGACTTTTCTCTTGGCCAAGCATGCACTGGAAGGAGCTGCCTTATGGCAGAATTCTGTGCATATTTACCTGTACTTAGAAATAAATTCCGCTGAATTCAATGGGACCTGGAAGTTTGCAGTGGCTCCCCGTCTGTGGAATGCTCTCCCCAGGGAAGTTCGCTGCCACTTTCATTATACACCTTTAGGTGCCTTTGCTTGATTGACATCCTATGCCCTTTTAAAATGTTGGTTTTTTTGGGGGGGGTAATTGTTTTTATTTTCTTGTTTTATATATTTTGTGGTTTTGTATTTTGATTTTGTTCTGTGAACGCCCCTGAGACCTCTGGGTATAGGGAGGTATATAAATTCAATAAATACCGTATTTTTCGCTCTATAAGACGCACCTAGTTTTAGAGGAGGAAAACAAGAAAAAAAAAATTCTGCATCTGCGCAGCGCCTCTCCAGCAAAGCGGGAGGAGAAACGGAAGGGGTTCCATTTCTCCTCCTGCTTCGCTGAAGGGGCTCTGCGCACCTTTCCCTCTCTGCGCAGCAGCTCTCCAGCGAAGCGAAGTCAGAACAGCAAGAGGGATCGCTGCTTTCGCTGCGCAACGATTCCTCTTGCTGTTCTGGCTTCAGCAAAAGCAACGCAAAGGCTCTTCAGGGCAGGGGGAGCATTCCTCCCTTTGCCCTGAAGAGGCTTCGCGTGGCTATCTCAGAAGTCAGAACAGCAAGAAGGATCGCTGCTTTCGCTGCGCAGCAATCCCTCTTGCTGTTCTGGCTTCAGCGATCGCTGCGCAGCCTGCATTCACTCCATAAGACGCACACACATTTCCCCTTACTTTTTAGGAGGGGAAAAGTGTGTCTTATAGAGCAAAAAATACAGTAAATAAGAAATTATAATAAATTACCAGTATATGCCATTCTTCCACCAGTGGTCTACAAGGTGGCTTAGATACAAAGGATGGTATTTAAATAAATAACTGTGCAAGGGGAATGAGTTTCGTTTGCACAACAGGACTTCACCCCTCTCCTCCCCCTGTGCACACCCTGTTCCATCCCCAAATCTGCTCTAGAGAGTTGGGGGAACTCCAGAACAGAATTAGGGGATGCACAGTGGGAGGAGAGGGGCAGAACATTCTGTTGAACAAAGAGGAATTATTTCACTGATAGAACATTTTCCTTAATGCTACTTTGAATACAACCCTAAATTAAAACACAATACCACAAAATAACGGGCACTTAAAATGCAATATTGTCTTTTTGGCATCTGAATCAGTTCTTCATGCACATAAAAGTAAAATTTCTCCAAAGAACAAGAACAGACTATGCTGATCTTTGCCTTAAGGATCAAGAAACCATCCTGTGCATCTTAAAAATAGGGTTCTTAGTGCAGCACAGCCACAGGGTCAGGAGATGCGTGAGGAAAATCACAACCCAACCTTAGTTTTCAGCCTGCAAAGACGGTCCCTTATAGGGACATTGCAATGATAAACAAGAAACAGTCTGATTCTGTATTCCCAAGCAGTTATAGAACACCATCCAAATAAAAATAAAGGTTAATGTTTCATCTCATACCTGAAAAGCATAAACACAGTAGCCGGCATCAAGAAGATCTCATTGCAAGCTATAAATTTCAGGATGTTTTGCTGATTAGCATTTAACTTGTCCAAGAGATTTCTTAGGAAAAGAAGACTATTTGAACCTCGTGCCTTGAAAAAAGGGAGTAAAAAAGCAATGTCAGGAAACTTTGTGTTATGTATACAAAGTCAAACCTTGGGAATACTTTCAGCTATGCTATCATTATTTTATAAACCTTGGAAGGCAGTCTAAATATAATAAGCAGGAAAACTGAAGAATTTTGCAAACCTTGCTACAATGTTTATTATGCAGGAAACGGTCAACCTAATATTCAGTTCCAGGTCCCCACTGCCACCATTTAACCCAAACAACCCTGCGCGGGAGGTTAGATTGAATAATGATCAAGGTCACCCAGCGAGCATCACAGCTGCATAGGGATTTGAACCCAAGTCTCCTCAGTCCTCATCAAACATTCTGGCTCTCCATGTGTATCCTTTTCTTTTCTACTTGCTAACCCTTTGCTAGAAGCAGCAGCACTGGATAAGCTATAGCTGTCCCTTCAAACTGTGGCAGAAAATAGCCAGATCCCCGTTTTCAGTTTACCCCTTAAAAAATCCATGTCTCATCTGAATCCTGCCCTCCTTACAAAGAGCAATGTGGCATGTAAGGGGCACAAGATCATACACTAACAACATACTTACATCAAGAACCTTCTTTGTGTAGGTGGCAGCGTGAAGCAAAGAAAACAACAGAACTGGGAAAATACTCACTGAAGTGAAAGTTAAGGAGAATTACAACCTCACGCATGTTATTTCACACTATAGTCTGCATATTCAAGCACATCGTCCACTTGTGTCGGCATGCAACCCTGCAATCTCTTGCCTTAAATTCAGATTCTTTTGTATGAGAAAAAGTTTGGACCTTAAGATTCAGGTGGTTTAAGTTAGGCAGCTTTATTAAACACTCAGTAACACAGAACACAGTCCTAATCATGGAATGGAATTTGAAAATGATGGTTAGCAGTATGCACTTGTAGAAGTATAGGCATCCAGCAGTTTGCGTGTATTTAACTTAGGTAGGGCCAGAGTTGAAATCAGTAGATCAATGTTTTAGAGTGAAATCCTATGCAGGTCTTCTCAGAAGCAGGTATAGGATTGCAACCTTATTAAATAAATTGATGGGGCTAAGAAATATGAGCTCACTTGTTTATTTTGATTCAGATACATTACATCAATAGGTAATAAATAAGAGTTAATAAGGGTGGTGCTTCTGTCTAGGGTGAGACTAGAGCTGATGAGGCCTTAATTTGTGTGACTGCCCTATACATACAGTGGTACCTCGCAAGACGAATGCCTCGCAAGACAAAAAACTCGCAAGACGAAAGGGTTTTTTGTTTTTTGAGCTGCTTCACAAGACGATTTTCCCTATGGGCTTGCTTCACAAGACGGAAACGTCTTGCAAGTTTGTTTCCTTTTTCTTAACACCGTTAATACAGTTGCGACTTGACTTCGAGGAGCAACTCATAGCACGCGGTGTGGTAGCCTTTTTTGAGGTTTTTGAAGACTTTGGTGATTTTTGAAGCTTTTCCAAAACTTTTCCGACACCGTGCTTCGCAAGACGAAAAAAATCGCAAGACGACAAAACTCGCGGAACGAATTTATTTAGTCTTGCGAGGCACCATGTATATAAAGCAGGAAGTGAGGTGGTAATTTCACTAACAACAAAAAGCACACATAAGGCGGGATGGGGGAGGGATAGAGTTCAGCTCCCCTCTCCCCTGAGCTTTACCTCCTTGTAGTTGATTACTCCAGTCAGCGGCAGAGGAAGCTGCTCGGGCGCCTGGGGTGGCGCACCCAGGAGAGAGGCAAGCCACCCATTGGGGCGGGGGAAGGGCAGGGCACACCGCAGGGCCTCCGGATTCTGCCTGCCTCCTCCCATTCAGCCGCCCTACAGCTTTGGGGGAGGGGGAGGTAGTGGATGGACCGTTTGGGCAGCGCAGAGCCTGTGTGCGCCCAAGCCACCGCATCTCTCCCAGGACAGACACTTGGCTCGGATGCGCTGCAGGCCCCGTGGTGAGTGCTGCCCGGCATTTTGTCACCCACCCCCCTGTGGTGACACCCGGGGCAGCCCACACCCACTGTACCCCCTCCCTCCGCCCCGACTCCAGTCCAGTGGTTCTCTAACCTTTTTCTGTGGGCCACACTTTCAGAATAAAATTTTGCTCCCCCCACACCAACATTTTTATTTATAAGAAGTACATTGGAAAACAATATGGGGCTACCTTTGAAGGTGACCCGGAAACTACAACTAATCCAGAATGCGGCAGCTAGACTGGTGACTGTGGGCGGCCGCCGAGACCACATAACACCTGTCTTGAAAGACCTACACTGGCTCCCAGTACATTTCCGAGCACAATTCAAAGTGCTGGTGTTGACCTTTAAAGCCCTAAATGGCCTTGGCCAAGTATACCTGAAGGAGCGTCTCCATCTCCATCGTTCTGCCCGGACACTGAGGTCCAGCACTGAGGGCCTTCTGGCGGTTCCCTTACTGCAAGAAGTGGAGTTACAGGGAACCAGGCAGAGGGCCTTCTTGGTAGTGGCACCCACCCTGTGGAATGCCCTCCCACCAGATGTCAAAGAGAAGAACTACCACCAGACTTTTAGAACACATCTGAGTGCAGCCCTGTTTAGGGAAGCTTTTAACGTTTAATAGGTATTTTAGTGTTTTGTTGGAAGCCACCCAGAGTGGCTGAGGAAACCCAGCCAGATGGATGGGGTATAAATAATAAATTATTATTATTATTATTATTATTATTATTATTATTATTATTATTAAAAGAAAGAACTCCTAGCAGTCCTTGATTTATAGCAAAGAACACAACTACTTAATATTATGATCATGGGACATCCCGAAAGTATAAAACAATGCAGCTACGCAAGAACGTGAATCTGGCCCGTCATCACCCTGGAGTCTTTGTGGCTGAGCAAAGGTATGAGCTGGAGTAATCCCTGATTTAAGTCTAGCACTCTACGACAGCAAAAGCACAATCAAGCTATTACAGAATTGGAAGTATTACAAGACTTGTAGAAAGGATACTTGTAACAGGGTAGGAATTGACAAAGATGAGGGAATACAAAAGGTAGTGGCAGCTGTCCTCCAGCAAGGCTTGAGCCAGGAACGCCCTGCTTAGCTGAAAATGTGGTAGCCTTTGGTGAAGTCGAAGGGCGCTGGTAAGAGCATTTGCCAGCAAGGCACGTTGATAAAAGCTAGCTGCTTCATGCAACCTTGAGAATTATCAAAGGAGAGGTTACCATACAAACCGAGTTGCGGCTTCAAGTCTTCCTCCCAAGAGAATTGCATCATCATTTCAGTCTCTGAAGCCCGCCCTGCTAAGCTCTGCCAAGATGTAACTGTTACTCAGTCTGAGAAGTATTCCTGGTGCTTGGCACTGAACTCTACAGGTGTGCCAAGTTTGGGAGAGTGGGGGGAGGGGAGAATGTCATTTAAAAGTATTTTCAATGCAGTTATCTATTTGACGTTTCTTTGGAGAGAAAAATGGCAGATAAACAATAACGTAATAACTGGGATCTAGTTAAACGACAATATCAAAACCTAAACAATAAATGACACTCACTTGAGCTGAAGGTGTATAATGTACAGATTACTGAACAGGTGTAAAGTTAGTTCTTAAACAGAACCAAATATCAAGCACTGATATTTGCAAAATATTGGTCAAAGTCCAACCAAAGTCAGTGATATAGGTTTCCTGGATTTTTTCCTATGCAAATTTAGGCTAATTTGCATTGGAAATCTTTCAGTCAGCATTTAAACATTTTCTGATAGCCTAGAGAGTGATCTAATTTAGCATTCGGTAAGCAAAGCTACAAACTTTGAAATTGCTAAGCTTGCCCAATACAGTGGTGCCCCGCAAGACGAATGCCTCGCAAGACGAAAAACTCGCTAGACGAAAGGGTTTTTCGTTTTTTGAGGTGCTTCGCAAGACGAATTTCCCTATGGGCTTGCTTCGCAAGACGAAAACATCTTGCGAGTTCTTGCGAGTTTGTTTCCTTTTTCTTAAAGCCGCTAAGCCGCTAATAGCCGCTAAGCCGTTAATAGCCGCTAAGCCGCTAATAGCCGTGCTTCGCAAGACGAAAAAACCGCAAGACGAAGAGACTCGTGGAACGCATTAATTTCGTCTTGCGAGGCACCACTGTACTGTAGTTGACATGGGCATCCTTTTGTTGTCACTAATGAACTTAATGAAAGTTGAAACTCCCACATAAAAATAAAGCACTGGAAAATCTTCTGCCCCATATCACTGACTGGTATTTCGCATCTACACACTACACTGATTTCCAATGGACAGCTAAGAATATAGATTGATATCGCATATTAAAATGGAGGGGAAGTAACCAAAGCTTAACCTTAGCTGGATTAGACCAACTGTATATGCTTATAAAATATGATACAGAGCTTTTAAGCATAATTTATGTTTTCTGTTTCATTCTGTCGCTAAAAAAAGCAGTGTCCTTTCTAAGGATATCAGGAGCACTACCACTTTAAAGAACATTATTATACATACCCTAGAAGAGGCAGGACAAATAAAGCCGAACAGTAAACTGTGAATATGCGGGAAAGCCACATTGCTGTATCCAACTTATTAGTAATCAGAAATTGCTGTAACGAAAGGAAAAGTAGTTAGTGAATAAACATTTATTTATTGTTTTTATTTATTGAATTTCTATCCCATCCACCCTCCCAAAGCAGCCCACTGTTTTACCAACTATTAAAGAACAAATACCCACCAAACTGACCAGATCCAGAACCAACATAGATAACAGACAATACGAAGAACGCAAAACTTTGGCTTTTTCATAAATGCAAGTGTAAATAACAGATAAAAAAGCAATCTCCACACAGCCGCTCTTAAATTTGGAAGACATAATTATGAGACCTATGTTTCGTGATTGCATTTTTGTAACTTTAAATTTAAAAAACTGTTTTTAATGTCACAGTTTAAACTGTTGTAACCCACCCGGGGATCATAGGGTGAAGGTCAGGCAATAAATTAAAATAATAATAATAAAGAGGGTTTACTTTGAATATCTGCTCTTTGAGAACCACGAGGATAACTCAGCTGCTCTCTGCTAGCACCCATGGCAGATAGTGGCCAGGAAGCAGCTCTGGTGAACTTCACCACCTTCTGGAATGGAACAGGACATCCCAAAACCAATCCCTACTCGGTCTAGGTTCCAAGGAAGCCCAGTATAGCCCTCCATTGCTCACAGAATGAAGATATCTACTTTGCCTCATGGCTAGGACAGGTGGTGACTAACTGAACTAGCAATCCCTCCCATCTCTGAGCAGTCAGGGCAACAGCTGTGGCTGCAGTCACCTATAAGAACTCTCAGGGTATTTTTAGTAGTTCAGGCATTTACAGTGGTGCCTCGCAAGACGAAATTAATCCGTTCCGCGAGTCTCTTCGTCTTGCGGTTTTTTTCGTCTTGCGAAGCACGGCTGTTAGCGGCTTAGAGGCTATTAGCGGCTTAGCGGCTATTAACGGCTTAGCGGCTTTAAGAAAAAGGAAACAAACTCACAAGAACTTGCAAGACGTTTCGTCTTGCGATGCAAGCCCATAGGGAAATTCGTCTTCCGGAATGACTCAAAAAACGGAAAACCCTTTCGTCTAGCGAGTTTTTCGTCTTGCAAGGCATTCGTCTTGCGGGGCACCACTGTACCATATAAAATGCCCTGGGAGTAGTTCTATGTAGAAAATGAAGTCACCACTATATTGTGGGACAGTCATTAAAAACAAACAAAAACAAAGAAAGTTTCTTCTGTTAAACTGCTAGCAGATAAAACTTTTAGGCTGTGTGTTTATGGAAGATAAGGAAGCTATCAGAACTCAGTGTTTCGTGTTTTCCCCAGAAGTCCATCTAGCATCAGGTATGATTCCTATCTAAAGGTCCAATTCAAAAATTTCCTACAAGAGGATAGAAGTAGCTGCTAATAGTTTCACCAATGCAATACAGTGGTACCTCGGGTTACATACGCTTCAGGTTACAGACTCCGCTAACCCAGAAATAGTACCTCGGGTTAAGAACTTTGCTTCAGGATGAGAACAGAAATCATGCTCCAGCGGCACGGCAGAGGGGGAGGACCATTAGCTAAAGTGGTGCTTCGGGTTAAGAACAGTTTCAGGTTACCACTGTACTGCAAAGTGTACTACAACCACATTCTATCAAGGCAAAGCATCTGTTTAAGGGCCACATGTTGTGCAAACCTCTCAAGCCAAATGCAGCCCCATCAGCCAGAAACAACAGCTCATAAAAAGCTTTTGTTGTTGGTTCCTGCTCAGGATTGCAAAAACAAATAGGCTGTCAAGTATTTTGTGAGTCCAAATACACAGCTGGTGGTCTGCATCTGGCTTAGTGGATCACAAGTTAAGCAGGCCCAGCATGAACTACCACCGGTAGCATGAAACTGCTTGTGCATTTCACCATGACTAATATGGTGTTGCAAGTTGTTATGTGTATGTGGAAATATCAGCTAGCCTGAACATTTTGCCAGTGGCCCTGCCTGCCTATAAACTAAATGGGGAAAGGTAAATCTGGTTTCCAGGGAGGCAGTCACACCCATCCTACATAGACGAGAAATGAATCAAATTGGCCAGAACTTGACTGTTCCCAGTTCCCTGCCCTTTTCCAAAATATGCTTTTGGTTTGTTGGTTTGCAGATTTCCAAATGCATTCACATTCAGCCCATAAAAGAATTTACCACATGGTTTTGGCATCCTATTGCCACTTCATTCCAACCTTTACACTTTTTTTCTTTTAGATCCAATGTGCATATACACCTGACAATTGAGGAAACAGCTGGCGAACTGGGCTCCAACCCACAATAGCATGTGCTGTAGGTAACATTTTTTAGTCTCTTTACCAGTCAGTGTGGAAAGGGAGGGGAATCATTTTGGCCCAGTGAGTCAGATTTTTACCTCCGCATACACTGCAGACCACTTTTGAAGGTGTGCTGGGCCACCCAGTTGTCAAAGTTTGCCCACGGGAGTGGAGGGAGATAGTGACCCAGCAGGATTTAACTCCCCATGTGTCAGCTGATGCACAGGGTGCTCAAGCCTGTTTTCTGCACCAAAAGCAAGCAGAATTAAACTGATGCACAGCGAGTTTATTCATGATTTCTAAAAGGGTCCAACCACATTTCTACTTGCCCCACAGGTAAAGGACTCCTGGATAATTAAGTCCAGGCAAAAGCAACTATGGGGTTGCGGTGCTCATCTCACTTCAGACCTAGGGAGCCGGCGTTTGACCAAAAACAGCTTTTCAGATCATGTGGCCAACATGACTAAACCGCTTCTGGTGCAATGGAACACCGTGACGGAAACCAGAGAGCACGGAAATGCCATTTACCTTTCCGTGGCAGTGGTAACTATTTATCTACTTGCACTTGGATGCTTTCGAACTGCTAGGTTAGCAGAAGCTGGGACAGAGCAACAGGAGCTCACCCCGTTGCACGGATTCGAACTGCTGACCTTCCGATCAACAAGCCCAAGAGGCTCAGTGGTTTAGACCACATCGCCACCCGTTCCCATATACTCAACATCACATACGGTGCTAGGCATGAGACAGGTGCCTGTGGTTTGGGGGAAATGGCTTGGCAAGCCAAATGTGGCTCACAAGCCGGGACTCCCCATCTGTGGTACAGTGGCACCTCGGGTTAAGCACTTAATTCGTTCCGGAGGTCCATTCTTAACCTGAAAGTGTTCTTAACCTGAAGCACCACTTTAGCTAATGAGGCCTCCTGCTGCCGCCGCACCACGATTTCTGTTCTCATCCTGAAGCAAAGTTCTCAACCCAAGGTACTATTTCTGGGTTAGCGGAGTCTGTAACCTGAAGCGTATGTAACCTGAAGTGTATGTAACCCGAAGGACCACTGTATAGGCAATACAGAACTAAAGAAACCAATAGTCTTAGCATCAAGCAACTTCCTAAATACCTACATACTAGTGCAGTAACCTAAACATCTGTTGCATAGCCCATGTTTCAGAAAACAGCCAGTACAACTTGGGACGCTTGACACCTAGTCGGCTCCTTCAGCCTGTTCCACAAACCTTTGCCAAAGGCAGCAGTGGAGAGGAAAAGGCCAAGCCTGGAAGCTTTAGATTAAAAAAGTTAAGAGGAACTGAAACTTCTCAAGGGCAATTAAGAGGCAAGAGAGGGCAACTTCTAATGGAGCTGTGAAACAGGGGAAACTGTCACGGTGACAAAACTGCCACTGCAGACATCCAAATTCCCTCCTCTACACAACTATCAGAGATTCAGAAGAAACCCTCAATGGAGGTGAGGGGGGAGGCGTGTGGTTGTGTCGATCTGCTCCCACATGTGCCCATTGATCCATGAACAGTTAAAGCATTGGGACTATGACCTGGGAGGCCACAGTTTGAATCGCTGCTCCGCCGTGAAGCTCACTGGGTGACCTTGGGCCAGCCACCATCTCTCAGCCTAACCTGCCTCACAGGGTTGTTGTGAAGGATGAAAATATGGAGGACAACCACGTACACCACCTTAAGCAACTTGGAAGATAAAGGCGGTGTACAACTTAATCAATTACTGCCTCATTCGTAGCCCTGAAAACTGGGCTTAGGGGGTGAGCTACGACACCCCCAATCTCAGAATTTGAGCAGATTTGCCCTGCTACAAGAAGGGGGTACAATACTGGAGACAACCCACAGATTTGAAACGACCTGAAATCAGAGCTCTCCCTATGAAGAAAACCACATACGGCTCTCCATGGGAGCGCATTTAGAAGGACAGAATTGTTATTATTAATTGAATTTATATCCCGCCCTATACCAGAGGGTCCGAGGGCAGTTCACAGAGTTGGAAGGGACCCCTCCGCACGGTCATCTAATCCAACCCCCTGCGACATGCAGGAATCCTTTTCATAGCTGTCAACGTTTCCCTTTTTTAAAGGGAAATCCCCTTATTCCGAATAGGATTCCTCGCGAGAAAAGGGAAAAGTTGACAGCTCTGCCTTTTGCCCGACGTGTGGAACTCGAACCCACGACCCTGAGGTTAACAGTCCCCGGCTCTACCGACTGAGCTACGCCGGGGGCTGAAGAGGCGAGAGGCCGGCTTCGAATAAAACAAAATAAAGTCCTCTGAGGCGGAGCGCCCCGCCGCGGGTCGAAGCAGGGCCGCGAAGGCCGCGCTAGGCCGCCCCCGCCGGACGCAACTCACCACGGCTCCGCCGCCCGCGCCTCCCTGCATGGGCCCGTTCTGCGCCGTGTCCGCCATGGCCGCGCCGCCCACCGGCTCCGCTCGGGGCGCGAGGAGGAGGAGGAAGAAGGAAAGGAGAGGCTCGGCGACGAGAGGGTTAAGGGGAGAGCGGGGCCTGCTCGTGCCGCGCGCGAGGGCCGTATCTGGCAGGCCGGAAGCGGGGAAGGAAGAGGCGGCGGTTGGCGGCGGCGGCGGCGGCAGCAGGTGCGCGGAAGGAGGCCAGCGAACGAGGGACACTCCTCAAGGCAGCCCCGCCGCTGAGCAGCCCGCGTCGCGCAGGCGCAGAGGGCGCCTTCCGGGTCGCTCGGGTACGGGTGGCGGTCATCCGGTGGAGCATGCTGGGTAATGTAGTCTTCGAGGCGCAGCCGCCTGACTTCGGGACAAGGTCGCTTTGGTATTTACTTTTGGAACCGGGCAGGGTGCTTTTCATGCATTTCTTTTCCCTCTCATTTTTATTTTATATATATTTAAAGCTTATGTTTTACAATTTAGAATATTCATTGAAACAACCTTAAAATGTCAGTGACCTCCCTTCTTTTCTTTCCGTGGTTCATTTTACATATCATAAATCCCTGCATATTTTACATAAACTAAACCATTCAGTATTCCATTTTTACATCTATCAAACTTGTTTACACTGTTGAATTTATCTTAATGCTGCCAACGTTTTCAAGTGTACACAATTTTCCTCCATGTATTCAATAAACATTTTCCAATCTTCTTGAAACATATATCCTTCTTGTTCTCTTATTCTATATGTTAAATCCGCAAGCTGCGCTAATAATAATAATAATAATAATAATAATAATAATAATTTATTTATACCCCACCCATCTGGGTATTCTGATGTTCCATCAGTTTAAGTTTCCATTTTAAGGTAACAGCGGGTATACAATTTAAATAAACAACTCAGCGCCCGCAGCAGAAAAGCCTGTGACGCTCTGGCGGGCTCTACTCCTCTCGGCAGCAGCTGTCGGCTGGCCTGGCTCTTCAATCCCTGGACTCCAAATATCAGCCCCACATTCTCGTCCTAGCGGCCCCGAGAGCCCGGCGCCCAGGTGCCCTGCACCCCTAGCGCCTATGGGTAAGCCAGCCCTGAGGAGATGAGTCTGACATGAGAAGTCACTATGGCATACAAGTGGTAGGTACATTAATTTTAAAACAGATGCAGGTTAAAATCCAAGACTCTGTGGAGCAGTTGATCACAGTCAACCAACATTGATATTGCATACACACACACAAAGATGTGGCTGAGGGAGAATGACATTCAACGTAGTTCAATCATAGTGCACAGTGGTGCCGTCAGGCATTTTCAGATCCTCCAAGTGTCCCTATTTTCCAGGGATGTCCCTGATTTATTTATTTATTTTTATAATTAATTTTTATTCAAATTTCCAATAACCAATCCATTTACAATTAAACATCTAATTTAACTTATACATTCTTTTGGACTTCCATCAGCCTATCTGACAATTTTCGTATTTATCACAACTTCTCACATTTCAAACATTTATGTTGCACTTTGACAATCCCTATTTTATCTTCTCTTTTAAGCGACATTCCAGTTTATTTTTTTCACAGAGCTTCTTAAAATCCAACAAGTGTTATTTCCTGATCACACACAGTTTTCATATACTCTGTAAATTTATTCCAGTCCTCGGTGAATCTCTGATCGCGTTGGTTTCTAATTTTTCCAGTTAATTTATCCATTTCTGCGTATTCCATCAATTTCATTCTCCATTCTTCCCTCGTTGGTATTTCTTCCCTGTTTCCACTTTTGGGCCAACAAAATTCTGGCTGCTGTTACTGCATATCTAAATAACTTCACATCAGGGATGTCCCTGATTTAGAGAAGCCGTCCTGGTTTCTGATTTGATCCCGAAATGTCCCACTTTTCCTTAGGACGTCCCTATTTTCATTGCAGAAATGTTGGAAGGTATGGAGTTATTCAACTCCCAAGCTGTCTGAAGGCAACCCTGTATAGGGAAGGTTTTTAAAAATGTTCTGTTATGTTTTTATATATTTTGGAAGCTGCCCAGAGTGCTGGGGCAACCCCATAAAATGTGTGGGGTATAAATAGTAAAGTTATTATTATGGAATGGGAACGTCCCTATTTTCATTGGAGAAATGTTGGAGGGTATGCATTTTTTTTACAAAATGGTCTTATCACATACATTCAGACACACAGAGAGAGACTTTAGATGCTAATCAGTGGCTTGTGGTCAGTGGACTAGGGGGACTAGGTTAGTCTCCTAAATGTTCCTGGTAAATTAGAGTACAGTGGTACCTCTAGATGCGAACGGGATCCGTTCCGGAGCCCCATTCGCATTCTGAGTAGAATGCGACCTGTGCATGTGTGGGTCGCAATACACCGCTTCTGCGCATGCGCGAGCCGTCATTTTGAGCGTCTGCGCATGCGCGAGCGGCGAAACCCGGAAGTAACACGTTCCATTACTTCCGGGTTGCTGCGGAGTGTAACCTGAAAAATGAAAATGCTCAACCTGAAGCATATTTAACCCAAGGTATGACTGTATTTGATCACCTCATCTGTCTCCTGAGAAATCTCTATGTGGGACAAGAAGCAGCAGTTAGAACTGGATATGGAACAACTGATTGGTTCAAAATTGGGAAAGGAGTATGGCAAGGCTGTATATTGTCTCCCTGCTTATTTAACTTATATGCAGAATTCATCATGCAAAAGGCTGGGCTGGATGAATCCCTAGCTGGAATTAAGATCACCGGAAGAAATATCAACAACCTCAGATATGCAGATGACACAACCTTGATGGCAGAAAGTGAGGAGGAATTAAAGAAACTTTTAATGAGGGTGAAAGAGGAGAGTGCAAAATATGGTCTGAAGCTCAACATCAAAAAAACGAAGATCGTGGCCACTGGTCCCATCACCTCCTAGCAAATAGAAGGGAAAGAAATGAAGGCAGTGAGAGATTTTGCTTTCTTGGGCTCCATGATCACTGCAGATGGTGATAGCAGTCACAAAATTAAAAGACGCCTGCTTCTTGGGAGGAAAGCAATGACAAACCTAGACAGCATCTTTAAAAACAGAGACATTACCTTGCCAACAAAGGTCCATATAGTTAAAGCTATGGTTTTCCCAGTAGTGATGTATGGAAGTGAGAGCTGGACCATAAAGAAGGCTGATTGCTGAAGAATTGATGCTTTTGAATTATGGTGCTGGAGAAGACTCTTGAGAGTCCCATGGACTGCAAGAAGATCAAACCTCTCCATTCTTAAGGAAATCAGCCCTGAGTGCTCACTGGAAGGACAGATCCTGAAGCTGAGGCTCCAATACTTTGGCCACCTCACAGTGGCGTAGCGTGGGTTGTCAGCACCCGGGGCAAGGCAAGTAATTTGCGCCCCTAACCCGTGGATTTGCGCCCCTAACCCGTGGATTTGCGCCCCCTAACCTGTGGATTTGCCCTAACCCCAGATGTTGCGCCCGGTGCGGCCGGCCCCCCCTGCACCCCCACGCTACGCCACTGCCACCTCATGAGAAGAGAAGACTCACTGAAAAAGACCCTGATGTTGGGAAAGATGGAGGGCACAAGGAGAAGGGGACGACAGAGGATGAGATGGTTGGATAGTGTTCTCGAAGCTACAAACATGAGCCTAACCAAACTGCGGGAGTCGGTGGAAGACAGGAGTGCCTGGCGTGCTCTGGTCCATGGGGTCACAAAGAGTCGGACACGACTAAATGACTAAACAACAACAACATGACTGTATTAAAGTATTAAAGTCTTGTGCCTCCATCCCAAAGCCTGGGAAGCTTCTGCTCTCCTTAGGGAGGGAGGTGAGATGCTCATGCACGGCGTCAGGACATCACAATGTTGCCCCCCACCCCATCGCCCTCTCAAGCTAGCACCTCTGGCCCTAACTGTTCCCCTACCAAAAAATTCACGCCTGGTTTAATGTGTGTTATTTCACCTCCCTCAAAACGTAGTGTGCCAGTCCAGCTATGTTTGGGGACTCTGCTACTTATTCTGTTGAGCTGAGCCCTGGACACCAGCCCCAAAGTTTTGCCTGATGGGACAACTGCACACAACAGAAAAGGGACCCCTGGACCGTTTTCATTCATAGTTGTATTGAAAAATGAATTTTGGTCTATGCAACTTGTCGTGCAGCAGGGTAAGAAAAGCTGCACCTGGTGAAATTTGCACCTGCACCGCCACTCAAGTTAACAGGCCGCTGTTTTCCATGGCATCTGGTCTCCGTATTTATTCCCCTTGTTCCACCACGCCGGGTCAGGAACTTACATTTCTGCACTGCCGGCCTGCTCCGCAAATATTCCGATGTGGCTGTTTGAGGTTGCAAGGGAGACAAAAGGGATGGGGAAGCAACTTTAAGAAAACGTTCAGATGTTAGTGTCAAACCCCTGACAGAAAAAGGCCAAGAAGACAAGCGAGGGGGGAAGTGTGAAGAAACGGACAAAGCCGCCTGTCAATTAGACTAGGTGAAGCTGAAGCTGATGTCTCCTCTGCCAGAAGAGATGAAACGCCGAAAGAAAAGGGCCAGGAACAAGCAGCACAAAGGGGGCGGACGTTGATTTGTGCAGCTAAAGCTCTGGGCGCACGCGGCCCTCCCTTGGTCGCAAACAGAGCCCATACGAAAAGCGGCCATTGCTATCCACCCTTGTGAGGATGCAGCCATATCACACCTTTTCTCCAAGTATCTCCAGGAGGCGAACATGGCTCTCCTCCCTCTCCATTTTATCCTTTCAACAACACTGTGAGCTGGGTTAGCCTGAGAGGGAGGGACTGGCTCCAGCATGCTTCATGGCTGAGTGGGGATTTGAACCCTGGTCTCCTAGGTCCTAGGGACGAGGGTGGCATTGTGGGTTAAACCACAGAGCCTAGGACTTGCCGATCAGAAGGTTAGCGGTTCAAATCCCCGCGATGGGGTGAGCTCCCGGTGCTCGGTCCCTGCTCCTGCCTACCTAGCAGTTTGAAAGCACGTCAAAGTGCAAGTAGATAAATAGGTACCACTCCGGCGGGAAGGTAAACGGCATTTCCGTGAGTTGCTCTGGTTCACCAGAAGCAGCTTAGTCATGCTGGCCACATGACCCAGAAGATGTACGCCGGCTCCCTCAGCCAATAAAGCGAGATGAGCGTCACAACCCCAGAGTCAGTCACGACTGGACCTAATGGTCAGGGGTCCCTTTACCTTTACCTCCTAGGTCCTAGTCCAGGGGTCATGAACCTGCGGCCCATGGGACACAAGCAGTCCACAGGGGTCATTTAAATGGCCCACAAGCTGCCCCCAAA